TCTATTACTTTTGTTTACTGTGATTCTATTTACAAGCATCTGCTATGACTGATGTGATACTGTGGACTTGACAGCAGGTGCTTTTGGTGCCTCCTGGAAATGCCGATATTAACCAGATGTATAGGGACATACAAAAAGACAATTGATCATTAATAACTCAAATGAAATATGTTAATTCAAATTTTGGCATAGAGGTAGAACGTTTATTGAGCTATGAATGCATGACATATTTTTATGGATAGAAACTTGGTTTTTCTTTATATGACGTTTCAGAGCTTATTCTTGTTCCTTCATTAGGTGAATGATTAAATGCCTTTCAAGAACTTCAAGTTTCTTGAGCTAATTTTCACTGCTATCCCACCAATAATTGGTGTATTCAAATACTTCATGCATTACAATTGGTGTATTAAACTGCATGATACATTTTATGTATATATGTGACATCTGTTCATGTTAAATGGTTGTACACATTTGATCAAACTTTACCACATTGTAATTATCATGACATTCCATCATCACCGACGTTCCATGTAACCATTCCCTGTGTCAAGTCTGGACAATTTGTATAGGAAGGCCAAACATAATTAGTACAGTGAATTATACTCCCCCCAAAAAGTTGATCATGGGATCATGAATGTTTAAGTAATCACTAAAAATGAATGTTTCCTGACCCCTGACTCTTTGTTCAATATAGATTATAGTGTAGTGTAGTTAATTTATGCCTCATCAGCAATTTTTAAACTTTCCACATTTACTTGTGCTTCTGATAATACTAATAGTAATTGTTCTAGTCAAGGTTATGGAAAACATCATAGACTCAGTTAGCAATTATGTTTTTCAAAACTTTAAATGAAAATTTTCACAACACTTAAAATGAAAATCGTTTGATTGCCATGACAATACGGTTTTATTATTTTTCCTTGATGGATGGAAAATCAATATTGGCAGACAAGTGAGAAGTAGTTAAATTGTAGTAGAAGTAATAAATTGTATCAGAATAATTATGGATTTTCTTGTGCATATTCTTGAGCACTGATTGTGTGCATGGCCACAAGATATTTGCAATATCAATTCTGTGTATTGACACAATTCAAATTCTATTCTCACAAATATATTCATAGTGACATGAAAACGTTTATCTATTGTTGATTGTAACATTGTTGATTGTAACCATATGTAATTGTTCACATATATATGTAATTGGACTATGTCAAGATATGTTTGTTCCTGAATAGCTGTCAGGGACCGTCTCAAAACATTCCCTTTACCTTTAATGCAAAAGACTTGTATAACCCTAGTAAAACGCAAATTTGTCACAGTAGTTCTTTCATCAAATATTTATAGCTTAAAAATAGATTTCCTGTGTTCATAAATAGCTTATCAGTGGAGATCTCTACCAGCTTTTGCCATTTCATTGATTGTCATGGTTTAACCTTATGTTAATGTAAGCGTTTGCTTGGTTTGCCTGTGAGTACAATCCACCTTAAAATGTACATTAAACTAAATATCATCAGAACTGTATGTAGCAAATATTGGAATTTGAATAGAATGTATTTCAGCAAATTCTTATCAATCAAATCATGTTATAATCTCTCCAAATTCACATTTGTCTTTTAAAAAAAAGACATTACTACACCACTGTTTGTTTCAATGGCTGAAGTTCTATTCTATGGCATGTGCACTGACGTGACAGTTTGTTAATTGTTATTTTCTACTCAACTTTTGAATAGGGATATTCCCTTACTTATAGAAATGAAATATGTATGTAGATTGTATGATATGTTCAGGCAACCCTATCAAAAGTTGGGTAGTATATGTTAAGATGGGCTTTGTTGAAGGGGCCCATCTCCAGTGTTGAACAAGACAGCAACATTAGTGCTTTGAAGTGGATTGGACAAACATACCAGAGGACTTTTCAGCGACCTTTTGGCCAAAACGTCTTGTGATTAGTTGAGTCTAGGATTCTTGCAGATCATAACTATATCACAGATCATGAAGTTGAAAATTTGTCGGTGGTATTAGAATCAGGAAGTATGGTGAGGGTTCAGGTTTCCCCAAACAATATTTGCTAGACATGTTTGTACTTTTACAATATGTGTTTGATATGCTTTTGCCCCCCATAATACATGTTGCCTAGTGAGTTGTTATTGCTGGACAGTTGAGCTTGTTAGTCTGCATGACTGAGATTTGGTTATGTTTTATTGTTTTATCATGTGAAATCTTATTTCAAGAAAAATAAAGCAATTTTGATATATATGTAAGTTGTGTTCTGTGTGCATAGTAGCACGTGACGACCCATGGACTGATCCGGGTTAGAATTGATTTTTAGTATCCCATATTTGTTGTAAGAGGAGACTAATGGGATCGGGTGGTCAGACTCACTGACTTGGTTGACACATGTCATCGTATCTGAACTGTGTAGATGGCTGCTCATGATGTTGATCACTGGATTGTCTGGTCCAGACTTGATTTATTTACAGACTGCCTCCATAAAGCTGGGATGTTGCTGAGTGTGGCATTAAACAACAAACCAACCAATCAACCTTGGGAAACCTAGGATATGTTCACAGACTTATGTAATACCTAGAGCACAACTCAGCAAACTGTTATACCATGATGGTACACTCATGTGATAAATGATTTATACACCATCACATCCATGGAGACCACACAACAATAGATCTTGGGTGCTGTTGTACAACGTGATCTTAGCGCTAAGGTGACCGTAACTCCCATACCTTAACATAGACTTAAGGTAGCCTTAGAGCTAAGGTTGTTTTGTACAACGGCACCCTGAACAACAATAACAACACAAGATGGATCACATGTCATGTTTATTATTCACTTCCACAAGTGATATTGATGAGTACAGGATGTATATGCTGGCTATCTAATATAATATCGATGTGAGGCGTTAGATAATGGTATAGGAATATATGTACACTGGCTAGTAAAACATTATGCTAAAAGTCACCAACAAATAACAACAATGTAATTTCTCACTGGTCAGCAGTCTGTGTCAGTATTCTGTACAAGTTTGATTCTACTGCAGCTTCACTCAGTTTGGCAGGGACATGTCACCTCCAGACCCAGCTTTGTCATCTTGCAGTTGGAGTACAGAGAATCTAATATTGTAGAGGCCCTCTGTTATAATGCTGGTCAAACTGCCTTACTGGTACAACTCAGAGTCTGTTTCACAATACAATGTGTTAACATGTTTATAAGAAGGGGTCAATCTTTACTCAGAGACATCAATAAAGGTAAAGCTGTTTGAAGATATCACTGAAAGAGTGAAATAAATTTACAAACCTATAAAAGAAAATTTCATTCGTGAAACACCTCCATATTTCATAGTACCAATAAACACACAAAATATTTGCATTAAAGTGTTTCAATGCTTCCTTAATTGCTGAGAAACATGGCTACACACTTTTTAAAATGTATTGAACTTTATGTGGGTGAAGCCTAAAATGATACGGGCCAACAACCCTGAAGAATCTCGAGCTATGGCGCCGAGAACAAGAAGAGCTCACGCTGTTGGATGCAGGTCTGCCAGGGGAGATAACACTGTCCCGAGGTAACATACCCAGACAAACTTCAAGTGAAGCTACCATACACACAGACTAAGAAGTTAAGAAGTTGTTCACATGCCATTGATATGGATTCCTACTTAGAAAAGTTTGATTTGAGCATTGATATACATCTATTATAGACTGAGCAGATATATTACCCAAGCAAAAGCTTTCTATCATTGAACAACCATGACCTGTTATCACACCACACAGACAACCTAAGGGGTTATAACTTATAACACTATGGCAATTGTTATGGTGTACAGCACAATCTGGCATGCTGTTTGATCAGGGGGTTTCAATACCTACTGTTCAACATTTGAAAAGGACCAAAACAGTCATTTCCAAAGGTGTGATCCCAAGCAAATGTTGAGTGGCATGGCTGATTGCCGTCACGGTCATCTCAACAAAGAACTTGATCACATTATGGTGTAGGAGTGCATAAGCATGGTAATCTAGTTTGTATTGTTCATCACTTTTGAACCAGATAAACTTACCCTCATAGATTTGACCAATTTCTGTGCTTAAGTATCCACTTAATTATATTTTTACCACCTTTGGCAAACTCCAGCGATGTATTTGTAATAATGCCCCCTATATCGGGAACATAACCTGTGTCTTCGGAGTGAGTAGGGGCGGTGGGGTAGCCTAGTGGTTAAAGCGTTGGCTTGTCACGCCGAAGACTCGGGTTCGAATCCCACATGGGTACAATGTATGAAGCCCATTTCTGGTGTTCCCCGCCGTGATGTTGCTGGAATATTGCTAAAAGCGGCGTAAAACCAAACTCAGTCAGTCAGTCAGTCAGTCGGAGTGAGTAGCTTCAACCAACTTCGTAAGGGACATACCATATAATATTATGGGACTTAGGCTGTAAGTTCAGTTAGACAATGGATATTTTTAGTCACTCCTTAAAAATCTGTTTCACAATGAAAGAAAGCGCTGGACCTTTAGACTTTTTCAATGGAAAAGAATTGGTTGGTATTCAACTTTTATCATCCAGCTTGTCCAGCGAACCATTTATTTTTAAGGTAAACCTTGAAGGGAGATTAATAATAATAATTTTGGACTCCTTGAACAAGAAATGGATTGTTTCATCCTTATGTAATGTCCAATGTGATACCGCCACATAGCTGGAATATTATACAATTATAGACTGGTGATGAGGTCAATACCTGCTTTTATGGGCCTGCGAAAAGCAATATTGACCGAGGACGAAGTCCGAGGTCAATACTGCTCTTTGCGGGTCCATAAAAACAGGTATGCAAGCAGATTTCTCCGGCTACCTGATTGGTCTAGAGGCGGTCAAGTGGCCGTCGACAAAACAGCATATTGACTCCAACCCAGGTCCGACCAAAAGTGATATTGACCTGAGTTACTATGATGTCAAGCTATGACGTCATTCTATTGTTTACATGTCACAGTATTGTTGACATAACGTTATTGGTTTGTAGTGAAAATAAAATTACTTTTCTTGACTAAATGGACATGTTTTGGATTTTAGAAGCTTTTTTTTTCGGTAATTACATAATAAAACAATTATAGACTGGTGATGAGGTCAATACTTGTTTTTATGGACCTGCGAACAGCAATATTGACCTCGGACTTCGTCTTCGGTCAATATTGCTTTTCGCAACTTCGTCCTCGGTCAATATTGCTTTTCGCTTAATGCGGCGTTAAAACTAAACTTAACTCCGATGTGATATAAGCTCACATCTATCTAATGGGTGAGAGTGAGAAGAGTCGAGTTTATTACTTCGTTGAACAGTATTGTGTGTCAGCTCAAAGTGATGCAGGTCTTGAAACGTTTACCACTTTGGTGAAAACACAATCACACCTGTTGTACTGACAAACTTAAAACATAATCGAAGTGGTTGTTGTTGGATTAAGGTTCTGACAACCAGGAATTTGTGGAGCCTAAAGGTTGGAGTGAGTGAGTATGGTTTTACGCGACTTTAAGCAATATTCCACAATCATCACGGCAGGGGACACCAGAAATGGCCTTTACACATTGTACCTATGTGGGGAATCGAACCCAGGGCTTCGAGGTGATGAGCAAATGCTTTAGTCACTTGGCTACCCCCCCCGCCCCTCCTAATGGTTGGTAGCGACATGGTCAGGTCATGGTAATGTCCATCATGTACTATGCAGTGTATGACCCCTTGGGGTCACTTGGCACATATATATACACAAGCAAAACACTGTACATATCTACCTGTACATCACATCTACCCTATGTTACAGAGTGGAGACAAGATATTTGCCTTCGAAAACAAAACATACCATTGAATAATTTCATTTTATCTCATCAATACAAATGTGTCTTCGGGAAAATAGCGTGTGAGTTTGACACTGCATATCAGCCTCTAGGCGCCATGGATTCTGTGGATCTACTACATGAGTAGTGTCTGGTACAAAAATAATCTTTACATATTCTGTTATAAACTAAGCTATACTCTAAAGCAATCTCATTTGATCATAGAGGAATTAATGAGGGGGTAATATACAGACATCTGACAGTTTTACAAATTCAAATTGTCCTATACAGGAAACAGGTCAGTCTTACCGTATGAAGGTGAGGTATAAACATGAGGTGATCAGCAAGTGTGACAGGAGATAATTACCGATTTTGATTCAATCAATATAAGGCAGAATGGAAAAGAAACAGGTGAAAATGTTCAATTAAAATACCTGAATTGAAATTTTCTTACTTAGGCCAGACCAATTTTATTTCTTGTTTTACGGATCCGCCTGTCGTATTTTTTCAAGAATGAGAAAAAAAAAATAATAATTTTCCCCACTCACAAAATTAAATCCTCATGTTTTTATTGGAAAAAAATATAAACTTACAATTTTATTTTATGTTTTTGATTGTTTTTTTGCCCCATATGCACTTCATTAATTGCCAAAAATACAATACTTTAGTATTCAAAAGGAAAATATCTTTGACCGGTGATATTTATTTTTTATTTTTGTCCCTCCTGCCATTAGGTTTTCTGAGGACAAAAATCCGTAAAACAAGAAATAATATTGGTCTGGCCTTAAAAATCATTGCAAGGTAAAAGGTTCAGTGGAGTGTAAATACTGAAAACTGGATTAGACAAACTGGTGATTGACAGCATGAACATTGATCAACACTATTGGGTCACGATGACATGTGTCAGCCAGATCACTGCACCTGACCACAAGGATATCTTTTACACAAATGTAAAGTGCTGAGGATTTCTGGATAAGATGCTAACTAAGCTCAATTCAGTGAACTTGTTTTTTTACCACACAAAGGATCCTTGCAGACTGTTTACCCTTGGGAACAGAGTGAGTGACTGACTTTAGTTTTACACAGCACTCAGCAATATAAATATTGTAAATAATCGAGTCTGGACCAGACAATCTAGTGATCAACATCATGAGCATCAATCAATTGGGATACGATGACGTGTCAACCAAGTCAGTGAGCCTGACCACCCAATCCTGTTGGGAACACTGAGACAGACCAGTGTTGTAAGTGAGCTGCGTGGGTTCTGTGCGTGAGCTTTGTTCATAATGTCGCTTCAAACAGTATTGCAGTAACATCATATTGTGAAAGCCAAAAATGATGCAAATCTATGTTCATCAACTGGGTGAATCCAATGACAAACCAAGAAAACATAATCAAGGCATAGGCTGACAACGTGCCAAGGGAAGCAACTCTACACGTTGAATTGTGGAGTCTTGGAAGACATACCCAACACTTCTCACTGTTCTAGGTGAGGAATTAAATCTGAGTGAGTGAGTAAATATTGTCTTAATCTGCATTAGCAGATTCAAACCTAAACCTATGCCTGTTAACACAGTCATATAAGCTACTTGCCTATCCAGTTTCCACTCAGTTCCAGGGTCCCCTTTCACAAAGCTATCGAAGTAATCGTAACTCCCTAGTGTAACATTGACTTACGACAGTCATAGCACTACGACAGCTTTGTGAAACGGGGCCCAGGTGTGCTTATAATACTACCTTCTTGTATACACAATCAGTCTATTGATCTCTGTGATTAGCACCCGGGTAAGTATCTCCTGTAACATGGAACATAAGCTGTAGCATGATTGCAGTAACACAGATCACAGTTGTAGATATCACGAGGGATGGACTCACAACCTGCATAGTAACAGAATAACCACTCATGCAATCAGTGATGTTATACTTAACTACAAAACTACAAAACTGTAAACAATATAAGGAATGGTTAGGTAAAGGTTTTCTTTGTACAAGTATGAGCTGAAAATAATTTACACTAATACATAACTATTTAAATGGAATGTAAACTAAATTATTCACTAATACTTTACACTAACTAAACTCATAGCTACACATATAGATATGTTTAGAACCAAGGGAACCATTATTTCTCCAGACTTCTTTTCCTGCCTTTTGGACATGGGGCCTAAAGTTCAGGTGAGCAGATTGAAAAAATAATGACAAAATATTCCAGTTTCAAACAGTTTTGTTCCATTTCCTCTAAAGATTCATCATGATTCATTTCTAATTTTTTAAGTGAAACTTTAACAGGATTTTAATCACAGAATTTTAAATAACATATTTACATCGAAAACAACAGTAAATGATTTTAACAAAATATATTTTCATTTACGATTGGCAGAATAAACCCCCAACTGCTCATTTTTTATCACATATTTTGTATATTTCATATCTGTTTACTCAGAAGACTCACAAGCCAAACTTTAAAAAATCTTGCCTTACATGAATTTTGTAACAGATTTAAACAAGTAACGTACCACAAAACACTGAAGTCATACTCCCCATGATTAATGAAACATTACTAAGTACTTCAGGTAGCAGTAGACATTATACCCTCCAGTAATTATGTAAAACACTTCTGAGTTTATCCCCAGTAAATATGTAGAAAAACACCATGATTATTGACTGTATAATTTATCATTATATCATGATAAACCCCTGGACCTACTGGCCACCATACGTTTGTTTCGAATCCATTTAATGACACCATGCTAAAATGTAGATGTCCAATCAAATCACAAGAGGTGATGCCATCCATACACAACTTGTATTGTGCCAATCAAAGCACCAAGTGTCCAGGGTATATATCATAATAGAAAGGAAATATGCTACCCTAGGTAACTAAACATCATAATGTTCCCTATGATCATGAAACATAATTTTTCACTTTCATTATTGACACTTGTACATAAGTTCTAAAAATATTAATCATAAACAGATAACCACATTTTTCTGAAACAAAATACAAAATTTCTAACTTGTGTTAACTGAAACCAACATTACACTGACATCTAGATCTTATAAACAACATGAAGCACTATGGGAATTGCATTCATTGTAAATTCTACTCGATGTCAACTACCCTGAAATATCTTCAGTACTCCCTCAAATCAATATATACACTAAAATTGTTCTTGTTTATGTCAACATTAACATTCCTGCACTCTAGATTTGGTAGCCAGTAATATTTATGAACATTTAGTAACATTTCATTGGATAAAACCAGCTAAATGCTGAAATACCCTGAATGAAAAAGCTGGAAATTACACAACATAAAATCAAAAACATATGTCATATCTATAAGTTTCACAAATCCAGAATAATTAGTGTTATCAGTATAAAAGACAAAAGTATATTAACACATACTAGTAGCAGAAACCCCAAACAATCCGAAACGGGAATTTTCAGCACAAGCTCACTTCAAATCCACACCTAATTAAGAGTATTGTCATTAAAATTTGAATAAAGCATATAAAAAACAAATGAATTATACTGACCATCTCATTCTACTCTAAGAGTATTTGATGTGAAAAGATTAAAAATACATGAAATCAAAATTTTTGATGACTTACATCCATGCTAAAGAAATCAACAAAATATTTTAGGATGGCAAGTAAAATTTACCAAAAATCTCATAACATTCTTGAACTCCACACACATTCAAGGGGCCTAATGAAACAATTTTCATCAATAAATTCCACAATCTTGCAAAATTATTCCTCTGCCTTCCACCTTGATCACACAAACTCCAACAATTTTTAAGGCACGCAGCTTCAAATTGAGCTAATAGTCATCACATTGAGGCCACTGTCGGTTTAATGCTCTCATATATAGCGAGGTACCCTTAAACACATATTTGTTCATGAGTGAAACTTACAAAATATTCCTAGAACCCTTCGCCATTGTGCATCATTAAACAGTTGCATAGATCCTGGCACAAAGAACACAGTTTCCCACCCACAGTATGTTCAAAAAGCTTCTTGATTAGGAAAACTTAACACCATTCCAACAACATCCTCCCACCAATCAAATGCTGCAGGCATTAAAATTCTTCAAATTTCTAGAATAAAAACAGCATAAATATACATAAATGGTGGCAAAAAGTGACAGTTTCATATAATGGAGCCCCGTTTCAGAAAGCTATCGTAGAGCTACGACTGTCGTAAGTGTAATATATCGGGGTTATGACCGTCATAGTGCTATGATAGCCTTGTGAAACGGAGCCCGGGATGGCAAGATGAGGATTATACACCTACTAGCCCATGTTGTAAATCCAGTTATCTTGTAAACTTAATTAAGGGCAATGAGTTGTCAAAAGACACTATGGTGATGTTTCTTGCGTAGTATGAAGTAGGTCTATGTTGGCTTTCCAACTAAGTCCTCCTTGATGCTCTTGCTTACATTACATGATACTGTCCATGAATAAGCTGTAAGCTTTCACAATGGTGAACAGGAAGATGGTAGTGAATCTCCTGTGATGCAATGCTTCCTGTCACTTTCCCTGATTCCAGTTCCAAGATTCCATCAGCTGCTGAATCGGCTTCTGCTTCCTGTTATCTTCCTTTTCTACGATGCTGTGAGGGCATGTGATATGCATACACTTAGTCTGTTGACATAAAGGCAAAAGCCTCCCATGAATCATGTGTAAAAACTTATGAAGCTTGCGGCCTTATTTTCTGTCCTTAGTTGACCTTGTCTGTCCAGAAATCAGTGAAATGTTTCAGAATGAAGATGACTAAATCCACTTCTTTATAAAACACTTTTAAGACAGATTTGATTTTTGACAAGTTTGGTGGAATGTGGAGATGTTTTTCAGCTTCCAATGCCACAAATATCCTTCTGGGAATGTTAATGTTTCTGCATTTATGTACACAGTGTGAGCACTCTCACTTGTCAGGTGCATCAAGATTGATTTTCTGAGGAAAGCACATAATGACCTAGTGTTCCATGTTTGGAACTGGAAGATACACAAACCTTGTAACATTGTGTCACAAGAACAAATATGAATGTCACATGATCATGACATGTTAACACTTAGTATGTCACATGATCCCAGCTGTGTCACATGATCCTAGAAATGTCAAGATCTTTTCATGTAGCTTGCTCCTAAGAGTCGCATAATTCTTATATCCCATGATTCTCAATTTATCACTTTGATGTCACATGATTCTAGATATGTCACATGATCCAAGGAGAGTAACTTGATCCCAGGAATTTCACATGACCCTCCGTATATCCCATGATCCAAGTCACGTCACATTATCCTGAGAATGTCACATGATCCTAAGATGATCACATGGTTCAAGATGTGTCACTTGGTCCTAGGAATGTGATATAATTCAAGATGTCACATCATTCTGGTTATGTCACATGGTTCTAGGATTGTGAAAGTTCATATGGAAGTTACTGAGATGCTCATGACGACGGAGACACTCCAGACAGTTGTGTCAGGTAACTATCTCAGACAAGGAAATTGCTCCGTTGTGGATTGTAGGTGGTGGTAGACGCTGAGTCATGGATACCACTCTCCACACCATGAGGGAATGCCTCCGCAAACTGCCCTCCAGACCATGTCTTCCGTCTGTGTGCTGAAATCAACACAAATATTTATTTTTCATTTAGGTAAGTGAGTGAGTTTAGTTTTACGCTGCTTTTAGCAATATTCCAGCAATATCATGGCAGGGGACACCAGAAATGGGTTCACACATTGTACCCATGTGGGGAATCGAACTCGGGGTCTTCAGCTAGACAAGCGAGCGCTTTAACCACTAGGCTAACCCACTGTCCCAAATTTGAAAAGTGTTTCAGTTATATCATGATATATCACTGACTGATTGAGTTTGGTTTTACGCCGCTTTTAGCAATATTCCAGCAACATCACGGCGGGGGACACCAGAAATGGGCTTCATACATTGTACCCATGTGGAGATTCGAACCCGGGTCTTCGGCGTGACGAGCCAAAGCTTTAACCACTAGGCTACCCCACCGCCCCTCATGACATATCAGCTTGACTTCAAAGGTAAGTGATGCAGTATTAGACATTTACACTTTGGTGAAACCCACAAACAAGTCTATGGTTCTGACAAACCTGGACACAACACCTGGGCAAACCAGGATTTGACAATTATAGGCTTCTGGCACACTTAAAGAATTAAGTACAGTGATTTGACATAAGACAGGGCCACCCACACCCAAACCCAGTTGATGAACCTGTGCTCTTACCTGCATCTTGTTTTGTCTTGAGTGTCACCTGCTTAGCCAGGTCCTGACTCAGAGCCAGAAGTTGTGACCGTCGCTGTTTTTCAATCTCCACTTTGCGGTGAATGTTTTCACCGATATGACTGATGTCTGGTTGAGACAAGGAGTGAACACTGGAACACAGGCAATATGGAACATCAGCAACAGTCATATACTTCATACCAATATCTTCGTTGATATTAGAGTGAATGAGTTGGATTTTACGCGGCTTTTTGCAATATTCCCGCAATATCAACCCTGTACCCTGACCATTCAAGTAAGATCACCAGCCTGTGCTGCAATAACCATGTACGATCAACATTCTCTACCTTTCCATTCTGTACCATCCCACCATGTACCCTGACCATTCAGTAAGATCACCAGCCTGTGCTGCAATAACCATGTAGAACATTCCCTACCTTTCCATTCTGTACCACCCCACCATGTGCCAGCCCTTCCTCTTTGCCCTACATCAGCCCCATCTTCTTGTCAACATGACCACAGAGTATTTGCCCCTTATGATTTGTATGACTATGCAACCCACCTCTGATTGGCAAGGATCCTCTTGATCTTCTCCGCCTTCTCTATGCGTTCAATCCTCTGTGCATCTGTCAGATCCTCTTCATCAGAGTCAGGCACATACCGCTCTGGAATATCCACCTTGTCAGGCCGGAACAACTAAAACATAGTAACATAGTTACAAGATGGTAACTGCAGTATACCTGCAACATCTAATCACTGACGTTATTGGCAGAACTTCTGCTTCAATGAGTCAGCATTAGCAACAATCATGTCACTGTGACACATAGAGGTGAGGTGAAGTGAAATTGGGTTTAACATCGTACTTGAGAATATTTCGCTCATATGACAACGTGCATGCGTGTGTATGTGTGGCTGCTTGTACTAGCCCAGACTGAAGCTGGTTTTATAGTGCCAGATCACTGAGATACCATGCTCAGTTAAGCATGAATATTCCACTCAGACACATCCGAGCAGATCAGTTCTTGTTGTATCCATTACTGCCGAGCGCCAGGCAGTAACCAACATGTACCATATTTTAACGTTTTTGGTATGAAGCGACCAGGGATCGATCCCGAGACCTTCTGCTCTCCGGGTGGTTACTCTTACCACTACACCACGGAGGTGGTCCGACACATAGAGAAACAAACAAGGTTTAACTTCTTCTTCCCAGATGGCCTCAAAATCATAAACAGATCATACTCAGCAAACACAGTGATCTCAAATGTTGTCTGGTAATGCATGGGATGACTTCTGCTATAGTGATCAACAGCATGAGCATCGATCTGATGACATGTGTCAGCCAAGTCAGCGAGCCTGACCACACGATCCCGTTAGTTGCCTCTCACAACAAGCATGGGTTACTGAAGATCAATATTCTAACTCAGACCTTCACGGGTTTGGAGTGCTAAGCAGAAATACACTTACAATCTCCCTCTCTATGGTGTATTCATCAAAAGCCTCTGTGTCTACCTTCTGGGTGGAGCTCTTCACAATGTCTGGCACATTGTCAATCTGAAGGCAAAGAACATACAGAGTGCTTTCATCATAAAACTGTAGTTACAATATGGTTGGATGATGAACTATTTCTATGTCTGGACATTCATTATTCTAAAAAAAAATTCAGGACTTTGAGTGAGTGAGTGAGTGAGTTTAGTTTTACACAATATTCCAGGGCCTAGACCTGGCTCTCTTAGTGCTAAGATAGTCGTAAGTGCCATACATTAACATTAACTTACGACTATCTTAGCGGTAAGAGAGCTTCGAAAATCTAGGCCCAGCTATATGGCGGCAGTCCCAGGACTTTGTGAGATAATTTGTACAGTTTGCCATGATGCAATACAATGCAGATCATGAATTAAGTACAGATAGACATATACAGTACAACCAAAAATTATTGAGAATTTAAAGATTGTAAAATTTTTATTATTTTCACTCATTACTCACGTATTAAATGTGAATATTAGCAGAACATAACTCCAGATTCAAAGACAGGTGAACAGTTAGTATATTGTCAAGTCACCATGGGCAGCAATGCAGGTTTCAATGCGGCAGGGCATACTACTGATCAAAGAAGTTAGAAAGTCGTGGTCTATGCTGTCCCAATATCGGACCACCTCTTCTTTCATTTCAGCAATATTTGTCAGATTTTTCTTATTGACACTTTCCTTCATAAGTCCCCAAACATTTTCTATTGGATTTAGGTCAGGGCTATAGCTTGGCCAATCTAATAATGTCATATTTTGGGTCCAAAACCAGGCCTGTGAATGCTTTGAACGATGTTTTGGGTCGTTGTCCTGCTGGAAAATCCAAAAATTTCCATAGAACACGTGAGCAGATGGAAGTAAATGTCCCTTGAGAATATCTGTGTACCGCTCACTGTTCATATTCCCTTCAAATACACAGAGGGGCATTGCCCCTAACACAGATATGCCACCCCACACGTTAAATTTCGGACTGTACTTTGGGCACTGATACAAAGGTTTTTCAGTTTGTTTGGTCCAGAATTTCAGTGTATTAGGAAATCACATTGTCCCAGTTAACATTTCTAAGCTGTAAGCACCAGTTCAACCTTCGCTCCTTTTGTTCAGGTTTCATGATCGGTGATGGAATTCATCGACATTTCTCTTAACCCATTGCATGCAGCTCAGTTCTAATTGTCTCCTTACAGACAGCCACAGTTCCTCTATCAATCATATCCAGCCTTAAGTTTTCTAAACTCCTTAGTTTGTTTTTAGAAACAAGAATACCAAACCGCCTCATGTCACCGACAGTCAATTTTCTGGGCCTACCTGGGCCTCCCTGGTGCTCAATGCCATATCCATTTGCAATATTTTTCAAAACACGATAAACAGTGGACAAAGGGATGCCTGTTCTACTTGAAATCACTTTAGCTGATCTGATGTCCTTGTTATAATACTCTAAAATCAACTTCCTCTTCTCTAAATCATCCATACTGAGGATCATTTAAAATGTCGTCTGCTAGCAAGTAAACAAAGGGGGATAACTCTTCACAAACTAATGAAAAAGGATTAACAGAGTTGTCTCTCTTTAATGAAACCAAGCACTTGATAGCTGGTCAAGGTTGTTTATACTAGAAATCTAATTAAACATATTCCTAAAAATCTCAATAATTTCTGGTCATACTATAATACTAATGTATAATACATTATAAATATAGTGAACTGAACCACAAAGAGAAATTCGTAATGAACTGGTGACTGACTGAGTTTGGTTTTATGCCACTTTTAGCAATAAACCGGCAATATCACGGCTGGGGACACCAGAAATAGGCTTCACACATTGTACCCATGTGGGGATACGAACCCGGGTCTTCGGCGTGACGAGCCAATGCTTTAACCACTAGGCTACCCCACCGCCCCAATAAACTGGTGAACATCGTCAATAAGTCAAAATGTACTTACCCAATAAATACTAGGGGAAATTTCAGGCCTCATGTATTGCCATAATTAATCATAACTGGAATTAATTATTAACAATTGGTGCTAATCATTTGTCAGACTTACTGATCTGTTCATGATGAGATCCCCTGCAGAACTATGCAACGTGTTCCCCAATAATGATGAAGTTTCCCTCTTGTATGGCTCACTGCTTGATATGGTCATGTAACGTCCTTTAGGGGACTTCTTCACATTGAAGATTCCACCACTACCTCCTTTTGCCCATGGTTTAGGAGCATACACTCGGGATGATTGTTCTGACTTTGCACCATTAGGTTTGAACACCACAGGCGTGGAGAAGGCGCTGTTTGACGTCTGCAACACGTCACGGTTCCCATCAGGAGGACCTTGTTCTGAGGACAAGTTCATTTCACTGAAGAAGGGACGTGCAGTGAAGATGCCACTTGCACTCTGGGTTTTGTCTTGATATGGGATGAAGGGTTTCGGGGCAAGGAGTCCGATGGATGAGCGCCTTGAACTTGGGTTGGAGTTAAAGTTTGTGAGGACTGGAACGGAGGATGTTCGAGCTAGGTGATCTGCATGTGGAAGGTTCTCGTAAACAGGACCTGGGTCTGCAGCTCGGCCTATGCGAGAGATCTCCGATGCATAGCTGGAACTGATGTCTGATGGGTAGCGGACGTGGCTCGGAAGTTCAGACTGGATGGAGAGAAAAAAGTGTCACAGTAACTTGTTTGTAACTTTCTTGTACCAACAAGAACCAAGGAAGACTTTAAACAGGTATTCATATCTCTGTAAACAGATTACAACTTTATTCATACTTGTCCAACAGTTTCAAAATATCAGATTAACCTTATTATAAAAAATCCCAACCCCACTGCAAAGCTGATATGATAAAAAACAAACTATTATAATGATTCAGGAAGGAAGACTTTTGTTGGGTTGAGTCCCATTGAGGATTCGAACCCACACTCTCAGAGTCAGGCACCTAATGGCCAGCACACAATGTCAGCCACCTAACCCGCTCAGCCACTGTGGCTTCCACATAAGATTAGGTGCCTGACTCTGAGGTTGTGGGTTTGAATCCCACATGGGACTCAACCCAACAAGAGTACTAGCATCTGTACTTGACTGAGAAAGTGTGATCACAAATACAACATATGTTACAACAGTATTCTTGGGACAGGTTAACTGCCAACGACAGACTAACACTTACTTCACTGTCTGAGGCCAATGGCTGGGAGCTGGACACTGAATACCACCCAGTGCTGCCTAGAATACAAACATAACATCAAGTTAATCCTTCATTTCTCTTCACCATCACTTAACTTTGAGAGATTTTACACATATTCACAAAAACTGAAAAAAGTTGTTCTGTTTGAAGAAAAACTGAAAGAAAGGCATGAAAGAAAGTCATGAAAGAAATGAATCACATTTTGTTAAAAGTGCAGACATATGAAAATTGCATATATATTTCAGTCAACGTTTCAGCAAACAATACTGAGTAACAAGGTGAGTTGTACACTGAAGTCACTATTATATTTCTGCTATAGTGAGTGAGTGAGTGAGTGAGTTGGGTTTTACACTGCTTTTAGCAATATTCCAGCAATATCACGGCAGGGGACACCAGAAATGGGCTTCACAGATTGTGGGGAATCAAATCCGCTTTAACCATTAGGCTGCCCCTCCATCCAACACACTAACAAATGTAATTTTTCAAGTAAAATTGATACTTTTATACTTATCCTGACTCATGATCTTTTGCTTATCTCCCTTTCCCTTGCGAATGGTAGTGGAACACTTGAATTCCTTGAAGTTCCCGAGGCGGATGTTACCTCCCTTTTCAGTAAACAGTCATGTTACCTGCCTTACTTGTCACTCTCTCCTGATTTTTCTGCCCAAGCACTTGGATCTGCTGTGCAATCCGAAGTGTTTCCAGCGGGGAGGTCGGGAGGGCTTGACCTCATGAGTCAGGATAAGCAAAAAATATCAATTTTACTTGAAAAATTACATATTTTTTCTCATCCTGACTCATGATCTTTTGCTTATAGAATCCTCCGGATTGGTGGTAGGTCAGGCCCCTTCCTGGATTCATCAGCTGACCTTTAGATAAGTCCTGTATCTAAAGAGTTACCTCCCCCATGGGAACTGCGTAGCGGCATTTCCCAGATCCTATTCTTCCAACTTCCGATATAACTCGGGGGGGGGGCACTTTCTTGTCTTACTTCCATCTCAGACAAGTTGAATCATCTTGATTCATGTGGCTTCAGATAAACTATACTGAGTCAAAAAAGGAACTTCACAAAATGTAATTTGAAAAATAATGATGATACATCTATGTATCTGAAATGGGATCCCTATCTTTCGACTCTAGAAAAACGTTAGCAAAACCCACTCAAACCCATCCATTCGTCGTGCAAATGATGTTAGTGCCAAATCAGGTTTTGCACGTGCAGTCGATCACGTGATCTTCGCATCAAAGTTTTCTTCATATGCACGTGTTTGCATTGGTATCAAGAATTGAAAAAACACTTTTAAACCACAGTTCTAACGGTACTTGAAATGCCACGATTGTTAAATGTGCAACGTGAACGTGCCGTTGGCATGTTGCAAGCGGGAAGATCAGTTATTGACGCGCGCTAAGAGCAATGGGATGCAGCCGTCTTACTGTGTATGACTTGTGAGGTCGTCTACAACAAACTGGCACCACTTCTGATCGCCCAAGGTCGGGTCCTCCACGTGTGACGCCACGAGCAGAAGACCATCAAATCGTCCCTACGCCACCTACGTGACAGATTTCTGCCGGCTACACTAACCAGGGCTGAGATGTTTAGAGGTCGACTGTCCTCACAGACCATTCGAAATCGGGTCGCGGGCTGCCAAATCTCCATTCTCGGCGTCCATATCGTGGGCCAATATTGACGCCGTTTCATCAACGCCAACGTCTGCTGTGGGCCCAACGTCACCTCCGATGGACCCAGAGAGACTGGAATCGAAGTCGTCTTTAGCGATGAATCCAGGTTTACCCTCAGATTCGGCGGCCGGCAGGCATAGAGTCTGGAGACGACGCCATGAATGGTATGCCCAATGTTGTGTGTACAGGAAGTTGCGACAGATGCTTCCTGGGGCGTTCCCGAAGTTGCATGGTGTGGGGTGCTTCCTGTGGGAACAACCGCTCCGACTTCTGGTCATCCGCTGGAAACCTCACAGCTGCTGACCTTAATCCAATACAGCACGCGACCAGGTGCTCACCCCTGAACTTCGCTTCCTTTCATGCAATGGCTCATGGCCCAGGTCTACAGTTCCAGCATGGCGGTGTTTGGCAGTGGTGAAGGCCATACACGATATTGAACTGAGACATTTCGCATTTTTATTCTTGTGACTTGACATTCTGTATATCCATGTTTTGGAATGGCGGTGTAGCCTAATGGAACTAATTATGGCACTGTCAGTGTATTGAGTACATCACACACGATCTCAGCAATGAAATAATAACAATTTAACCATCTTACCATCTCTTGTTCTTTTATAGTGCCCTGAAGAAAGAATGTGAAGTTTCTTTTTTGACTCAGTATAGTATCTTCTTATTACTAGATATCTTATAACAACCCATAGACTATGATAAGATCTTTATCATAAATGAGTTTGCGACCCCTTCACGTACAGGTAAGATCTTAACCCGTACAGGATCTTTAATCACTCATGCTAGTCTGTCCTAGACTGTGTGCATGGACTTTCAAACTAATGCTCTTCCTTAGTAAAAGTTATCAACAAGCCAACGTGATGAAGGGTGAGATTTTCCAACTCAGCGCCTTTGAGGAACCGTTAGTTGCTGTGCTACAACGAGAGGCCCAAATTGGTGAATGCCTGAGACGTCTTCAGTGGCTATGTCTCGGAGGTAGTGGTTGGCAAACACTGTGTCCGACTTATAAAAGCAGCCCTCCATAATTGCTGATATAGAGCAATTTCCGTGCAGAGCAAGTGTTGACGCTAGTGATCTGACTTCTTGTGGGTTGGAAGCTCTAGGAGGTTCTAGTCTTGCTGCTTTATAGGCTCTCAATATGACGGCTCTCATATAGAACGATATCTTCGTTCTTGAGACTTCTACTGATGTCTCTGTGGATAATGGGATGAACAGGCGCGCTTGAATTTTCGTCTCCTTGTCTTAGTCTTTTGAAGATATATCTTCAGGGCTCTGACCGGACACAAGGATAGGTCTTCTATATCCTTTGGACTGTAGATAGCGCTGGTACATGGAACTGTCTATCTGGCTGACCAGGTAGTTGGTTCTTGGCAATGAAGTCCCATCTAAGTCCTAGATTAACTGCAGCATGTTGCCCCGTGTCGAATCTGGTTCGACCAAAGTCCAGCGTATGTATCTCTGATATCCGAGCTGCCATGAATAGCGCAAGCAGGAACAGAATCTTCTGTGTCAGCAGCTTGAAGGTAGTCTGATCTAGAGGTTCGTAGGCATCACTTGTAAGATGACGTAGAATTACATTCAGATCCCAGGCCGGAGCTCTGAACTTCTTTTGCTGGCCCTGATTTGCTTTTGCTGGTCCTACGTCTACTTCAGGCGGAGGTAATATCTCTTCGTTGAAGGATTTCTAATGTGTTGACTTACTAGGCCACGTAGATTTACCCTCCGGTCTGGTAACAGAAAAATAGGACCTAAATATAAAGGACATAATGCCATATACGGGACTCCAGTGCTCGCCCAACCATCCACTTGGGCGAAAAGGGAGAGAGTGACAAGTAAGGCTGGTCACATGACTGTTTATACGGAAAAGGGAGGTAACTCGTGGGTGAGTGTATTTTTATGTCCGCTTTGGGAACTTCAAGGGATTTAAATGTTCCACTACCATCCGCATGGGAAAGGGAGATAAGCAAAAGATCATGAGTCAGGATAAGAAAAAATGACAACTTTACACATGTAACAGACTAACTCCTGTGCTTTAGTGGTAAATACACTGCCCCATGATGCCAATTTAAAGACCAATACCTTCATCCTCACGCCTCATCTTCTCTCTCTCCTTCCTCTGTTCAGACTGACGCTTCACATCACGAACAGTCAGCACCTTTGGTCGTTCTCTGGGAATAATACCTGCAAGGAATCGTATGACAAATAACATATCTCAATATCCTTACTTATGAATAAACACATAGCATCAGGATCTCAAATAGAAACTGAACACACTGAAGCCTGAAGTGATTTACCAATACATGAAACCCATGAAGGCAGGCATGGTTCTGACAAACCGAAAATCATAGTCAGGACGATTTTGGAATTTGAGTCCACAATCCTTTGATTACAAAGGGAAGTAACTGCTTGGTGAACAAGGGACACTTACCGAAAAACCTCTTGGTGTTGTCATCTGCCTCGCTGATATCCCACGTGGCATTAGGGTCATCTGGGTCGACCATGTTGTCTGTAGCATCTGTCGAAGTGGCCAGGCTACTCTGCAATATCAAAGAACAATGTAAGATATAAATCTGAAGTTTTTAGTGGTACGACATACCCATTTAACTAGTACAGTTCCCACAACAATCTTGTCTGTAGCCTAATGATCTGGGTCCCATTCTGCAAAGTGATCATTGCAATAAAATAATTGTAGCTTTGTACCAACAAGCATTAAACATGGCCAGACATAGGACTACAAATTCCTCATTTCAGTTTTGCCAATTTTTTCCTGGTCCTACTGCCTCAAAGCAATCTTAGTGCTAAGATGATCTTCACCTCATATTTTAACATAAGCTTATGGCAGTCCAAGGATTAAGATCGCTTTGTGGGCCCAGGAATCCTCAGGGTTCTGCAACTGACCATGTTTCTGAAGGCTGTTGACCACAAATCATCCCATAGCTTTACATAGGCTTATAATAGATATAGCACTACGACCACATTGTGGAATGGGGCAAGGGTTTCCTCAAGGTTCTCCAACTGACCTCCTGTCTCTGATGGCTGATGACTGGGAATCTGGACACAGGCTGGTTCAGACCTTCTGCATAGCTCATGGTCATCAAGGGTCGACCTGGACTCTCCACTGCCGTACCCTGGTCCACAGCTCCTGGACTGACCCCTGGGGACATCATCCGCAGGTCGCCCATGCTCTTGGATCTGGGGGTCATTTGATGGGGGCTACGTGGAGACTTGGAGCCGGCCATGTCAATACTCTCCATTGTGTCCAGGTCTGTAATCATGTAGCTTGAGTTTTTCTTCCTTGTGGGCTCAGAGTCTGAAATCAGCAGAACAACAGAATAACTTATCCATCCATCCATCCATCAATCCATCCATCCATTTATAAATGCTCAATGAAAAATCCACTTCTCTTTAGGTGATCGAGTTATTATCTAAAGTGCCCAAAAACTGATCTAACAAAACTGTAACATTTTCCTTTAAAGCTCACATGTTCATGAAATATGTATTTGGTGATGTAGCCATGACAAACATCCAGCAATCGTGTGCTTAACTCTACATATTACACAACAATATCCAAAATAGGCAAAGCCTTCTTGGAAAACATTCTCTTCATATAAGATGCCTGTGTACATAAGTTACTCCAGCCATTTTGTTCTATAAAGCGATCGATCCTAGTGCTTCATCAATAGAATCAATAGAGTAAGATCGTCACAGCATGAAGACCACTTTGTAGAACAGGACCAAACAAATCAACATCCAGCCTGCGACCTTATTAGTGAATGAGGGGAACATCTCATTTACCTTTATCCATGAGAGATGCGAGCTGAGTGCCAGAAGATGAGCGTCTGAGGGTGTTCATGGCCTGGGACAGGCGGCCCCTCTCAGCAGACAGTCCGGCCATGATGTTGTTGACCTTGGCCAGCTCCTTCTCCATCTGCTGCTTGGTCTTCTCGGTGTCACCTCCGCCCTGCATCACCACACAGAGAGCAGAGTATATATTTGTGTTGCTATGGCAATAGTATGCAATGCTCCAAATACTGTAAATCACATAATGTTTGCGGCACAATATTTCTGCGAGTGGCTACCAACAGACGATTTTGCATCATGATATTTTTGCTACATGCCTAATTCTCAAAAATAAATTGCAACTGAAAGTTCTACCTAAAGTAATTCCAATCACATATTAAAGATTGCCTGTGATGACAATGACATCACCAAAGCTGTTGATCTCCGGACGAGTGTGATGAAACCTATCCACGCCCATTAGATGGTGCAGCCTTTAAGTAATCGAGTCAGCTAGAAAGACTTGTGATTGTATTGTTAGCACTATCCAGCGCCATCAGGTGTGGTGAGGTGAAATTGGGTTTAACGTCGTGCTTGAGAATATTTCGCTCATATGACCACGTGCATGTGTGTATGTGTATGTGCGGCTGCTTGTACTAGCCCAGACTTAAGCTGGTTTTATAGTGCTAGCCCACTAAGATACCATGCCGCAGTGAAGCATGAATACCCCACTCAGACACATTATACTGACTCCGAGCCGACCAGTCCTTGTTGTACCCATTAATGCCGAGCACCAGGCAGGGACCAACAAGTACCATATTTTAACGTCTTTTGGTATGACGCGGTCGGGGATCGAACCCGCGACCTTCCGCTCTCCGGGCGGACGCTCTAACCACTACACCACGGAGGTGGTCTCCAACGCCATCAGGGTGTGACTAGTGACTCAAGGATTCACCAAGCTTGACCACTTGACCATATTTAGGAACCCACTGTGACAAGATATTTAGTCATGGCGACCAGTTCTGAGTGTTTCTTGATGCATATAAATGATTAAGTACATTCAGAAATTTCAAAACTGACACAGAATAATCTTTGAACATGAGCTAGACAAGTTTAAAGTAAATTTGATCAATATTTCAATCACATCAGAATCAGAGCATGTCAGCTCAGAAGAAGTGCAGATGCTTGACCTCTACCTCTTGGGTAAGGTAAACCCAGGTGTGGTGCTTAAAATTACGGAGTGAGTGGATGGGTGAGTGAGTGAGTTTAGTTTTACGCTGCCTTTGGCAATATTCCAGCAATATCACAACTGGGGACAGCAGAAATGGGCTTCACACATTGTACCTATGTAGAGAATCGAACCTGGATATTCTGCATGACAAACACTTTAACCAATTAGCTACCTCACTGCACCGGTGAGTGGATGGAGTGAGACAGTGAGTTGAATTTTGTGCCACTTTTCAAAACATTGCAATGACATTGCATTGCTTCCCCAACTGGCCTGATTTCCCTATACAAGTGTGTCTGAGCTGTGACTTACCAAGGATACAGCGCTCCTACTCCGGGAGAGTTCTCCATTAACCTTGGTCCTCAGCAGAGCCACCTCATGCTCCAGCTTGTTGTTCTCTGCTGTGGTTTCTTCCAGTTCCTATGTTAATAACGTAATATTTCAAGTAAAATTGATATTTTTATACTTATTATGACTCATGATCTTTTGCTTATCTCCCTTTCCCTTGCGAATGGTAGTGGAACACTTGAATCCCTTGAAGTTCCCGAAGCGGACGTAAAAATACAGAGCCACCTCCCACGTTTCTTCCAGTTCCTATGTTATGTAATATTTCCCTACTTTCCCATCTTTTTGCTTAACAGTCAGTTCGAAGGTGACCAGCCTTACTTGTCACTTTCTCCCTTTTCGCCCAAGTGGGCGAGCACTGGAGTCCCGTATACAGCATTATATCCTTTTTAATTAGGTCCTATTCTTCCAAATTACGCTGTGTATGGATTTGGCAATAACTACTGATAGGCAAACATTTAACTATTCTGTTACACTAAAGACATTACAAACAACGTATCATTGTAGTGAGTGAGTGAGTGACTTTTACACTGCTTTTACCAATATTCCAGCAATATCTGGAGGAAACCAGAAAAGAGCTGGTTGTTGTACTCATGTGGTGATTGAACCCAGCCTTCAGTTGAGGTGAGGTGAAATTTGGTTTAACATCGTGCTTGAGAATATTTCGCTCATATGACCACGTGCATGCGTGTGTATGTGTATGTGTGGCAGCTTGTACTAGCCCAGACTGAAGCTGGTTTTATAGTGCTAGCCCACTGAGATACCATGCCGCAGTGAAGCATGAATACCCCACTCAGACACATTATACTGACTCCGAGACGACCAGTCCTTGGTGTACCCATTAATGCCGAGCACCAGGCAGGGACCAACACGTACCATATTTTAACGTCTTTTGGTATGACGCGGTCGGGGATCGAACCCGCGACCTTCCGCTCTCCGGGCGGACGCTCTAACCACTACACCACGGAGGCGGTTTCCCAGCCTTCAGTGTGACAAGACAATGCTTTTACCACTGGGCTACCCCACCATTCCGCTTCATTATAACCTACAGAGGAGCTTCTCACAAAACATCATGGTCATTAATGTTGACATAACACTGAGTAAGTCTGCACGTATCACTGACCTGTGACGCCTCCGCCAGCTGCTGCATGATGAGGGACAGTTCTTTCTCAATGGTCATCTGCTGGTGCACCAGCTTGCTCATCTCACGGGGGTCGTTCCGTCTGATGTCCTGCTGCCTGATGATCCCCTGTAGGGCCTTCTCTAGAAGCTCCTGAAAAACAGCCAATGTAGTGTCATGTGCTGGATATCAGTAGGTATCTGAACACATTAATGGTGTGATGTTAATGTTAATGTCATCATGCGCTGAACAGAAACATCAGAAGGTGTCATGTTCTGAACAGATGAATCAGAAGGTGTCATGTTCTGAAAAGATATATCTGAAGGGGTCATTGACAAAAACATCTGAAGTGTCTTATTATGAACAGAAACAACAGTAGAGGCAGCATCCTTTAGAATGAGTGAGGTTCGATTGTGTTCAATGTCATACTTTGTACATTACTACAGTTTGGACCAGGAAAACCAATGGTTGACGACTGTGTGTCCAAAAACTAACAATAGATTTACTACGGAAAAAAGTATACATACACTTGTCTGACTAATCAGTTTCATCTTGTAGAATTATTATATTAATGCTCACAAGTCAAGATGTTCTCACATATTTTCACAATGCTCCAGGTACAAACCTTGTCTTCCCTAAAGCTGATAACCTTGAAGGACTGCTCTTGCAGGTTCCGATCCAGCTCATAAAGTCTCTCCAGCTTCTCCTGGAACAAATGTAAAATATCAGAATAAAGTAACATTACTGAGGAAGTGAATGGTGTTTTAAGCCACTGCGCAACATAAGTGAGTGAGTGAGTTTAGTTTTACTCCGCACTCAGCAATATTCCAGCTATATGGCGGTGGTCTGTAAATAATCAAGTCTCGACCAGACAATCCAGTGATCAACAGCATGAGCATCGATCTGTGCAATTGGGAACTGATGACATGCATCAACCAAGTCAGTGAGCCTGACCACCCGATTTCCATGGAAACTGAGAAAAATGAAAAATGCCAAAAATCTATAAATAGCAAAAGGCACCACTTTGGGACCTATCTCATATATCTGCCAAGTTCTGATGAAAGATATTGAATGGTTTTCGAGTTGTGCTCCAGAAACGAAACCCACCCCTTAGTTTTGAGACTAAGTCCGCATTGTTTCCAGGGAAAATAAAAATGCCAAAAATCTGTAAATAGCAAAAGGCACCACTTTGGGATCTGCCTCATATATCTGCCAAGTTTTGCTGAAAGAGTGCATCAAGTAGTGCTACAATTCTGGGGACAGTGGGGTAGCCTAATGGTTAGAGCATTTACTCGTCACGCTGAAGGCCCAGGTTCAAATCCTCAGGTTCCTCAAATGGGTACAATGTATGAATCCATTTCTGATGTTCCCCGCCGTGACATTGCTGGAATATTGCTAAAAGTGGCGTAAAACCACACCCACTCACTACAATTCTGGGTACAGATCAGCACTGACAGATATACACAACTCACAACCCACTGCAGCACCCCGAAGCCACTGGTTCCCTGTACCAAACAGAAATATATTTAATCATAAACAGAAATATTTATGAATATTTGAGACAAACCTCAAGATCCACCTCCTCAGCAGACAGTTGTTTGATCTCCTGCTCAATCTCCTGAACAAACTTTTTCTCCTGATGTTGTCGTGAGAACAGCAGCATGTCCCTAGGTTCTGTGTACTGGTCTGGTCGGAGCAGGTGCTGGCAATATGAACAAACAAGAATCAGATCAACTGGTGACATGTTGAAATTATTGCCTGCCAATCAAAACAAGGAAAATATTTTCTTTACAATGTTTAGAGAAAGGGACAAGTAGCGTTGATACCTTTCTGTACTGTATAATAGAGATTTATAATAGAACAGTGCATTTATAAACTGGATTGGTTGGTTGGTTGGTTGTTTAATGCCGCACTCAGCAATATTGCAGCTATATGGCGGCAGTCTGTAGACAATCAAGTCTGGACCAGACAATCCAGTGATCAACATCATAATCATCAATCTATGCACTTGGGATAACCGATGACATGTGTCAACCAAGTGAGCGAGCCTGACCACCCGATCCCGTTAGTCACCTCTTACGATAAGCCAGGGGTAGAAATAACTTTAAAATTGCTAGAGTACACCGGTACAGTGGCACATGTAAAATCACTTGCCCTGATAATTTTTCCCCTATACCGGCTGATTTTCTTGTTGATTTTTTAAATAAACAACATAATTAACATTGGAAAGTCAACTGGACATTGGTACAGCGTGATATACAAATTTCCTTGCCCGACTGGGAAAAACACTGGACTCGGACGTCGGGCAATGGGTTATTTCCATCCCTGTAAGCATGGGTTACTGAAGACCAATTCTAACCTGTATCTTCATGGGTCTTCTAAACTAAATATTTTACCATCCAGAGTATTATACCCAGCATACACACCTTCCTGTACTGAGTGGCCAGCATGTAGTTGTCTCCCCCGTACAGACTGCCCATAGTCACCATGTTGTCCACCAGGTTTATGAGTGGCTTGTACACCTCAAGCTGAACACAACACATCACCACCGTCACATATGATACAGGTTACATTAAACACATTATAAACTGACAAGGGAAACATTTTGTAGTATTAGTGTGCTTTATCATTAGTGTTAATCAACAAAGAGTTACTTCAATTAGGTCATATTGACCTGCTTACAGAATTCTTCTCCATAAAACTAGAGTACAACAAGGAAATTGAAATCTGAAAACATGTTATTGAAATCATATCTTGGAATATTTTCATCAGGTGAAATAAAATTGGAAAACAGCAAGTTTTTTGTTAATGAAATTAGTTTTAAATTCAACGGGAAGCACAAATAGTCTTGCAGATCAATGACACAGTAATTGTTTCATATTTTTCCTGTCTGTATAATAGTCTGCTGGTGACTGTCCTGCTGGTGCCGCACCTTGTTCTCTAGTTCCTCCAGCTGGGTCTTGTAGTCCTTGTACATCTGGTGATCCTGCTCCATTTCATGGTCAAGTTCACCATCCGAGTTGGAACGCCTGCAAACACAAAAACATTATTATCTGGTAAATAAAAATACAGGCATTACTGCCCAATTAATATCACTGAGCATTCAAACAAGTTGACGTTCCTGCCCAATGAATAGATAAGAGTGTATTTAAACAAGAAGGCAGTTTTGTTATTCGACAGCTCACTGTACATTTACACAATTATAAAGATGTTACAGCTCATTTAACAGACAAATGTGCAGATATTCCTCATTCATATTGTATGACGCTGTTATCTGGCACTGTGCTGGTGTATATCACAACATATCACCCTATTTGGGTACTCACTGCCTCTTATACTCGCGCTCACTGAGACGCCGCTCCTGCAGTCTCTGGCGGTAGAAGTCCTTGGCCTTCTCCAGGGCGGACTGGTTCCTCCGCAGCTGGATTAGCAGCAGCACCAGCTCATCATGCTGAAAAACATCAAAGAGCATAATAATAATTCCAACATAATGAGGAAGAGTGAGTGAGTGAGATGTTTTGGACGTTTTGGGCAATACTCCAATAATATCATAGTTGGGAACACCAGAAATTGGCTTCACACATTGCACCCATTTTGGGAATTGAACCTTCCTATTCAGCATGATTTCAGAATGCTATGACCACTAGCCTGCCTGCCTACCTGCTCATCACAATATGGCTGATACAATGGTGACTGGACACAAAACTTCAACTCAACTAGTCTGCCTCGCAGCTCTAGTGATGATTATGTGTGATTCATAAAAGACAAGGCTATACATCACAGAGGATTATCACCACAGTGCATAACAAAAATATTCTTGTCAGTTCAGTTGTACTGTCATCTCACAGGGCACTATTTGTATCTTACAATTTCCTTCACAAAGATCACAACTGTACTTACAGTTTTGCCAATCAGGTCCCCAGCAGATATGCTCATCCTGACACGGCTGCCATTAATGGGGTATTTCTTGTTGAGATTCTTTATTTCCCTAGTGGTCTGGAAAAAAGTGTCAGCAATTAAAAGAGGAAAAGAGCAAGATCTAATTATCCTCAACAGACAAAATTCAGACCCACCATTTGATATGATCCATGACCAAACCACAGCTTAACCACCCAATCAACATAAGCCCTACTTAACCATCATTAGTACCACTCACCAAACAACTGTACCAAGCATTATCTCTTATCAGTTTCTTCCACACAGATAGAATACACACACTTGACACATACCTAACATCAGTACCACCCACCCAGAATCAGTATCATCTTACTCTACATCAGACCCAACGACCTTAACATTAGACCACCCTTACTTGCAACCTGAAGCCCTACCTTTACAATGAACTGATGATTCACCTGAAGAAGGGGCAAGAATTAGCTCTGAAATGTCGTATTCCATAAAACGTGGAATGTATTGATCTACAATGCCCTTCTGGTCTTCACCAGGCCCCATCCCACCTCTATATAAGCCCACCTCTACATAAGCCCAACTCCTTCCTAACTAGACCCAGCTGGTAAATCTACATAGCCTCCCCTTCATCATAACCCTCAACCCTTGCCCCTACATCTTCACCAGACCCACTAATATCTCTAACATCAGCCCCAACCATCAACTTCTCAGCCTCACAAGACCCCTCTACTTCTGAAGCAGCCCTTTTCACCAGAACTACATCATCTCTGCATCAGCCCCACCCCTACTTCTCATCCCCCCCACCCCTCCTCACCAGCCCCAAACCCTCCATCAGCCTCACCCCAACTTCTAGATCAGACCCTCCTTCTACTTCATCCCAACTTACAACCCCAAATCTTAATCCCCAAAAAGCCCCATCCCAAATTAAGATCCACCCCACACCCTCATCCTCAAAAGCCTCATCCCAACTTAGAAGACCCCAAAACCTCATCTTCAAAAGACACATCCCAACTTAAGATCCACCCCACACCCTCCTCCTCAAAAGCCTCATCCCAACTTAAGATCCACCCCAAACCCTCATCCTCAAAAGCCACATCCCAACTGAAGATCTCCCCGATACCCTCCCTCCTCCTCAAAAGCCAAATCCCAACTTAAGATCCACCCCAAACCCTCCTCCTCAAAAGCCAAATCCCAACTTAAGATCTCCCCGATACCATCCCTCCTCCTCAAAAGCCAAATCCCAACTTAAGATCCACCCACACCCTCCTCCTCAAAAGCCCATCCTAACTAAAGATCCATGCACACCCCTCCTCAAAAGCCACATCCCAACTTAAGATCCACCCCACACCCCTCATCCTCAAAAAGCCTCTCATCCCAACTTAAGATCCACCCACCCCTCCTCCTCAAAAGCCCATCCCAACTTAAGATCCACCCCACACACCCTCCCTCAAAAGCCACATCCCAACTTAAGATCCACCCCAAACCCTCCTCTTCAAAAAAGCCCCATCCCAACTTAAGATCCACCCACACCCTCCTCCTCAAAAGCCATCCTCACTAAAGATCCACCCCACACCCCTCCTCAAAAGCCACATCCCAACTTCAGATCCACCCCAAACCCTCCTCCTCAAAAGCCACATCCCAACTTCAGATCCACCCCAAACCCTCCTCCTCAAAAGCCCTATCCCAATTTAAGATCCACCCCAAACCCTCCTCCTCAACAGCCCCATCCCAACTTAAGATCCACCTGACACCCTCGTCAACAGCCCCATCCCAACTTATAAGATCCACCCGACACCCTCCTCTTCACCAGATTCACCCTCGAAATGAGTAACCCCCTCACTGCCTCGCCCTCAACCTCAAAATTAGTAACCCCTCCTCACCAGCACATCTCTGTCGGACATGTTGGGGTCCTCCTTCACTGTGGACATGGTTCTGGGTAGTTTCTTCTTCTGTGGTCTGGCATATGTCTCCTCCCTGGGACCTGGAACAGGATTCCTCACACTCACAATCATGTTCAGTCATTGAACACTAATTCTAAGAGGAATACACAGAGGTAACAGTGTGGATATACTGTAAATCATGAAATTAATGCGTCACGAAATTAATGCGAGCTCAGGAATCTGTGTTGATGATAAAATGTGACACCCTGAATCTTTGGTGTTGTTCTTTTTCTTTTCACACTTGTTATTTACCAAATAACCTGAATTGAGCTTGTTAAGCAGTGAATGGAAATGAGCTGACGATGTTTTGATTACGCTGCCATGTTTGATCACGTGATTGCTTGCTACTACTTGTCTTATGACAACATGTATAAACGTAATCCGACTTGAAAGACATAAGTCATCTACCAAGGTACAACAAACAATTGGCTGACGAATGTCCGGTCTGGCTGATGTGCTTGAGTGACTTTAAACAATGACCAGTGATTGTAACCAGTGATAATTACATGTGGCTTGAGATACCTGTAATGAGGAAGTGACCTGTATTGGTGTAATGTGTAGTGTCAACATATTTACGTTTTCTGTCTTTTATTAAGTTCTCCAAAGTAGACATGGTCAGACTGAATGCGTCATTATAATAATGCGAGAAGAGTACAGACGCATTTTTCGCATTAATAAAATGCTTGCATTAATTTCATGATTTACAGTAAAGCTTTGGCTTTCTTTAGCATAGTACATCATACCCAGATAAATATACAAAGCTGTTTAAAAACAATCTACTTTACACTTAGTCAAATGATAACACCTGAATGTGCCTAAAAGCAAGTTAATTTGTAATTGCTTCTAATGGTATTCCATTTATATCTTGGTGTGTCAGTTTAATATTGCTGGAGGGAGTGATGCAGGCCCCAGATATGCTGATAAGCCTAGAAACTTGATCATGATTAACCAGGATTCTGGCACATCCAAGGGATGCAACTCTGCACAGTAAACTGTGGTGCCTTAGATGCCAGAGCCACCCATGCCTCCAAAAGCAATATATGTGATGCATGAGCAATAGTATAAACTCAATCCAACACACAATGAACCCGTTCATGACATAACTATTCTATGTTTTTTGGTCAGCTCTTCGCACAAACATTAGTGAGTGAGCGAGTTTGGCTTTATGCGTCTTTTAGCAATATTCCAACAATATCATGGCAGGGGACACCAGAAATGGGCTTCACACATTGCACCCAGGTAGGGAATTGAACCGGGTGTTCGGCGTGACGAGTGAACAATTTAAACCACTAGGATACCCCACCTCCCCCACAGACTTTAGGGAACTATTGTGCCTTGAAAAGTTTGTTCAAGTTTAGACATAGATTCCTTTATAGGTGATACTTTAACCATGGTATAGAGCTTGCAGCAAGCGCTAGTGATGTGCCCTGTGACATAGACGGTCATGAAGCTTGCTATTACACTGAGACAAGCTCGCTACAAGTGAGAACTATTGGCAAACAGCTATTACCCATCACCAATCATCAGTTGTTGTCAAGATTAAATGCAACATAATATAACACAGATATCATTTTGTTAATGATCAAGAGTTAAAAAATATATTCAGACTCTCAAGAAAGCTTTTGTTATACAGATATGTAAAATTCCAAACATGCCCCAGTAATAAAATCCACTTAAACTATTTGTTCGTAAACAAATTAGAAGTTTAAAAATAAAATTTTAACAGTGTAAAGCCTCTTGAAGGTAGAAACAAGAAAAACATACTTAGTTAATATCAATATCACAGCTGAAAGAAAATGGTCATAAATACTACAATATATCAGCTTCAAAGTTTTGCTACTGCAATATGTGTAACAAACTTGTGTGAGTTTGGAAACGGTGCCTCATGCATGATCGGGTGCATTATTAGTTGCAGTCAACTGACTGGCCATGCACACCAGGAATGAGGTTAGCTGAACTGTATAATGGCAAACATCAGGGCTAGGAACTGTTAGAACAGAGCTGAACTTGTCATTAGAGTCAGTGGTGGTACAGATCTGAAATGTGCCCAGTAGGGAACACTAGAGTACCTGTCCATTTGTCCTGAATATAACTTTTGCCGATCTCTCTTGCAATTTCTCTTGTCATTTGAATGTAATTTCCATCATGATCCTCAGCTTCATTCTGTCCTGTATCTACTGGACTTGGGTCACAGTTTGACCTCAAGTCATTGCTAGACTGAAATGGGGAGTTCGTCTTGGGTTTCTGTTCCAGAGTTGAGTTATCTCCCTTGATACTGCTCGTGCAGGACGACGGAGGACGGAATGCTGATCCTCGTTCGTACAAGTCTTCTGGTTCGTCAAGGTTCTTAACATATGAGCCACCAGGACTATATACTATTGGGCTGGGTATTCTATATTCTGTGTCTGAGTAAATTGGCTCTTCCTGCTTGTTGGTATCCTTTGGTTGAACAGGAGGTTGAATTGTGTCCAAACCTTTCCTTGCTGATCAAAAATTTAGGGTTTAAGTATTTTGAATTGGATGACATTTTAAAGTCTTCTACAAGATGAGCTGATAAGGAACACCTACATTTAGTATCAACAACTATAATACACACATATTAAACTATGGTCAAGAGAGTTGAGTTAAAGAGACTTGTGACAATGGTTACCAAGAGACTTGTGACAATGGCTACCAAGAGCCTGAAGGACAAATCAAACAACATCTATCAGACAGACAGAAATGACAGAACGACAAACATATCTTACAGTGGTGAACACTAGAAACCTTGCTCAGATTAAAAAAATAAAATGAGTGAGTTTAGTTTTACGCAGCCTTTAGCATTATTCTAGCAATATCACAGTGGGGGACACCATAAATGGGCTTCACACATTGTAGCCATGTGGGGAATCAATAAAAAATAAAGGACATAAACACATTAAGAAAGGACACTTTAAGGTTCCTACCAGCTGTAAGGTCTCGTTGACTCTGCCGCAACTGCTGAACTCGTTCATATGCACTTCTCAGTTCCTGTGCCCCTCTTCCACCTTGGGGTTGACCTTCACCTCTGTCGACTTCTTCAGCTTGCTTCCGAGGTTCAATTCTGCCATAACCAACTGGGATCTCATACCTGTTTGACATCGTTGACTGATGCTCATCTGGGCCTTGTCCCATACCATCTCGCTCTTGAATGACCTCCCTTGGATCACGTGGCTAAATAACGAAGTTCAAAACATCAAACTATTATTCAAAGCATCACAGAACAGAGACATAAAAAATACACATTGTGAAAATATGAATATGAATAGTCTTGACTGATTATTATTTTGACTATGTCCATACTCTTACCTGTTGTGAAGGTTCAACATTCCTTGGGGATGGGTACTGGAAGTAGGGTGACTCCTGCCTTCTGCGTGATTCATTCTCAACAGATACAACTAAATCATATGATGTTCGGGGTGTCTTTGTCTTGGCAAGCTCTCTGGCCATTTCCTTGCGTATCTCAGTGGGATAGGGAGGTCTGCCTGGAGACACATCACTGCCTTGAACTTGAGGGTCTGCGGACAAGTTCACATAGGTTGGTGGGATGTCTACAGTGAGGCCTGGGTGCCTCCTTGGGGATTCTGAGCCATGTGGGGATCCTTCACTGGTATAGCCACCATAACTCACGTCATGTGGCCCAGAGAGATTGTTGCCAGATGGTGATCGGTGGAAAGATCCATCTCTATAATCTGATGGGGGCTGGTCCATAGCTCTTGATGATCTCTCTCCAGGATAACCATTAGCATTTGGGTAATCAGATGCTCGGGAAGACCTGTCACCATGGTAACCATTATCATTAGGGTAATCAGAAGCTCGGGAAGACCGGTCACCACGGTGACCATCATGTTCAGGATAGTCTGATGCTCTGGAAGCTCTGTCTCCATGGGTATTGCCCATGCCTGAGAACTCAGATGCTCTGGATAATCTGTCCCGTTGGGGCCCATTATCACCAGGTTGCATTTGGCGAAGCTCTGTTTGTTGGTAGTTTTGATCTGGATACAAAGCTCTCTGACTTCCATGATCATCTTGAGAAATCCTTGGATCTCTGAAACCATGATCTTCATTCTCTGCTGGATATCTATCTTGACTGTAAGAAGCTCTGGAATAGGAATCTCTCTGTAAATCTCTGTCATTTGGAGTACCTTGGTAACTCCATCTTTCTGCAGGATTGCCTCGAGAATCCACATCTCTTGTGTCTTGGCCATAACGGTTACCACTGTGTGGATCTTCTTGGTCTCTGCTGCCATACCTTTGATGGTCAGGTTCTTGTGGGTGGCCAAATCTTGGATCTCTTTCTTGCCCATATGACTCAGGTGGACCTTGCGAGTCTCTCTGGTCATAGGGAACAAATCCATGTGACCCTGACCTTTGCATGTCATGTATGCGAGCATATGGATCTTCCCCTTCCAAATGAGGTTCTTGCAATTCTGTCCTAGAGTAACTTCCCTGTGGATCTGTAAAACTATGTCTTGGATCACTCATACTGCCTCTGTTTTGACTTAAGCTCCTATCCCTTTCCTCAGCCATGCGATTATTCTCAATGTTTTCCCTATTGTATGGATCATTAACATTGTATCTGCCCTCAACACTAGCTCTCGACACTGTCGACATACTGTTTCGGTCATGATGTCTCATCATGTTAGGGTCACTGGCTCTTGACAAACTGTTCCGATCACTCATACGAGAAATACTATTTCGATCATTCATGCGGGACATACTATTTCGATCATTCATGCTGGACATACTATTTCGATCATTGTTACGAGACATACTATTTTGATCATTGTTGTGGGACATACTGTTACGATCACTTTGCCTTGCATAGCTATCCCTCTCCTGGGGCCTGGACAAGCTATGCCTCTCATAGGGCCTAGATAAGCTATCTCTTTCATGAGGTCTGGAAAGACTATCCCTGTCATGAGGCCTTGACATGCTATCCCTCTCATAGGGCCTAGATAAGCTATCTCTTTCATGAGGTCTGGAAAGACTATCTCTCTCATGAGGCCTTGACATGCTATCCCTCTCATAGGGCCTAGATAAGCTATCTCTTTCATGAGGTCTGGAAAGACTATCCCTCTCATGAGGCCTTAACATGCTATCCCTCTCATAGGGCCTAGATAAGCTATCTCTTTCATGAGGTCTGGAAAGACTATCCCTCTCATGAGGCCTTAACATGCTATCCCTCTCATAGGGTCTCGAATAGCTATCCCTCTCATAAGGCTGTGATAAGCTGTCCCTTTCATGATTCCTTGATAAACTATCCCTCTCATATGGCCTTGAATTGTTGTCCTTCATATGAGGCCTGGATAAGCTGTCCTGCTGGTATGGCCGTGACATACTGTTTCTATCACTATTCCTTGACATACTATTCCTGTCATGAGCATCGCCCAACCCATCAGGATGATGATGGCCATGTTCTGGGCCAAAGTCATCAGGATGTGACCTAAAGTCTCTTGAGTCACTATTTGAAGGATGTTCCACCATACTTCCAGCGTGACTACTCCGGTTACTTGGAGGGTACCCAGATCTGGGATCCCTGGGGTCGTGATGCTCCTGGTAGCGACCATCTTCTCTCATGCGGTCTTCATAAGGGCCTCTCTCATCGGTTTCTGGGTACTCTTGTCTGAACTGTCTTTGGTCTGGAGGCTCCAGGTCCTCCTCATGATGCATCTTGCGGTAACTCCCAGGGTCCTTCCACGACCTCTGTAGCTCTGGGTTCTGGGGGTAATCTGCTTCTTCATCATCACCCCGTGATTGGGACCGATGGCGAGGGCCACCAACACGGTTGTTATTCGTCTCTCTAACAAACCTAGAGGAAAACAAATTACAAATAATGAAGAAAGACAGAATAGAAATTAGCTTTTGTACATTAACAATTTAACTAACCAAATGGAATACAGATTACAACACATGAAGAAAGAAAACAAGAGTCATCAGAAGATGACATATCCCCCCGGCCCCCACATATTTGAAAGAACAAATCATCTGACAGTTACTTAAAGTCCAGCTTGATGTTTTTTTAGACTAAGTCCAAAACATTTCCATGGAAACAATGAAAAATATAAATGCCAAAAATGTGTAAATAGCAAAAGGCCCCACTTCAAGATCAGTCTCATATATCTGCCAAGTTCTGTTGAAAGATATTGAACGGTTTTCGAGTTGTGCTCCGGAAACGAAGCCCACCCCTCCCTTTTGAGACTAAGTCCGAAACGTTTCCATGGAAACCAAGAAAAACATAAATTACAAAAACCTGCAAATAGCAAAAGGCACCACTTCAAGATCTGACTCACATATCTGTCAAGTTTTGCTGAAAGATGTTAAGAAGTTTTTGAGTTATGCTCCGGAAACGAAACCCACCCCTCCCTTTTGAGACTAAGTCCAAATCGTTTCCATGGAAACCGAGAAAATAATAAATCACAAAAATATGCAAATAGCAAAAGGCACCACTTTGGGATCTGCCTCACATATCTGCCAAGTTTTGCTTAAGGATATTAAAAGGGTTTTCCAGTTGTGCTCCGGAAACGAAACCCACCCCTCACTTTTTGGACTAAGTCCGAATCATTTCCATGGAAACCGGGAAAAATAAAAATGACAAAAATCTGTAAATAGCAAAAGGCACCACCTGAGGTTCTGTTTGATATATCTACCAATTTTTGTTGAAAAATATTGAACGGTTTTTGAGTTATGCTCTGGAAACAAAATGATTACGGAAGGATATGCCGAGGGGATAAAAATGAAGTTGCTTAGACTGATGCTCATGATTTCAACCACTGGATATTCTGTTTGAGACTTGGCATTTGCAGACCTCATTGTATGTAACATGCTGAATATGGTGTTAAAAAACAAAGAAACAAACAAATATACAAAGCATGTGGTTGCACAAACAATTCAGCAATCATAGAAACACGTACCCCTGCTGGCCCTTCATCATGGCGGCCTGGGTCAGCAGAGCTAGCCACCGGTCAAGGTCACCTTGGTTATCAGTGGCAAAGTACAGGGTCTTTGTGTTTTCATGCTCCAGCTGTGAGAGAAACAAATGAAAGCAATTCATTAACTATTTCCCTCATAGATTGTCCTGTAAAGAAGCATTACTAATTGTTCGACATTTTCTGAAATTATTTTCAGAAGAAAACTATATACACAGATCAAAGTTTGAATTAATAATAACAATTCATGTGAGTGAGTGAATATAGTTTTACACCGCTTTTAGCAATATTCCAGCAATATCACGGCGGGGGACACTAGAAATGGGCTTCACACATTGTACCCATGTGGGGAATCGATCCTGGGTCTTTGGCGTGATGAGTGGACGCTTAAACCACTCAGTTACCCTACAGCCCCTCTCTCATGTCAGGTGAGATTACATTTGATGTATTCATGAACCAATAAAGAAAAACACCATGTTTTGCAAAATGAACAAATGGTTGCTAAGAGGTATTTGTGCTATGAGACCTGAGAGACTGAGTTGTCTCTTCTCACCTTGAAGCCAAAGTCTCTGTACACCTGGTCTGCGGTAGTGATGATGTTGATCCTGTAGCTGGGTAGCAGCACCGACGTCACCACACTTGTCTCATCCCCATCTGTAAAGTATGACAGATAGGATATGACAACTAGCCACTCTCTGTCATCTGTTCTTGTTTCAAGGAACATTTTGTGAGGAGGTGAGGTGAAATTGGGTTCATCGTCGTGCTTGAGAATATTTCGCTCATATGACGACGTGCATGCGTGTGTATGTGTATGTGTGGCTGCTTGTACTAGCCCAGACTGAAGCTGGTTTTATAGTGCTAGCCCACTGAGATACCATGCTGCAGTGAAGCATGAATACCCCACTCAGACACATAATACTGACTCCGAGCCAACCAGTCCTTGTTGTACCCATTAATGCCAAGCGCCAGGCAGGGACCAACAAGTACCATATTTTAACGTCATTTGGTATGACGCGGTCGGGGATCGAACCCGTGACCTTCCGCTCTCCTGGCGGACGCCCTAACCACTACACCATGGAGGCGGTCTTTTGTGAGGAAAGAATGAATTAATGCAGGGCTTAGAACGTTTACGATTTTGATGAAACCCGTAAGCATGGACCTACCAATCCTAGAAACATAACTGGCCAAAATCATTTTCCTCCTCACTGAAATGGCTTTTATTTCTTAGAAAAGATGCTATTTCCTCTACTCACCTTTGTAGACAAAAAGTGCAAAGTCAGCAATAACACACCACCTTTTCTTCCATGTCTTGCCGATGGCACCACTTTCCTACAATAGAAATATTCATCAAGAAAAATCAGAATATGTCAGACAGTCAACATGTAATAAAGAAAAACATTGTGGCCATTGAATACTGTGTTAGAAGCTCTAAAGAGTGGAAGTTGAAAAAAACCCAACACAAATGTACATACGATGATCATCTTATGACATGGTTTAAGCCACTTGTAATGATGTACAGCTATAAGAGAAAGATCTACACAAAGATCATAGTGAGTGAGTGAGTGAGTGAGTGAGTGAGTGAGTGAGTGAGTGAGTGAGTGAGTGAGTGAGTGAGTGAGTGAGTGAGTGAGTGAGTGAGTGAGTGAGTGAGTTTCAGCAATATTCACGGCGGGGGACACCAGAAATGGGCTTCACCCATTGAGCCCATGTAATAGTACCTGGGTCCTTGGCGTAACAAGCCAACACTTTAACCACTAGGCTACCCCACACCACCCCCTTAAAGGTTCTGAATATCCTGCCTAGTAACTAAATTAGTTGAAGCTAAGACAACAAAACTGTGCCTGATTTTTCAAAATTTCAGATAAAAAAATCATACAACTAAATATATTAAAGGGACTCCTTGAATATAGAGTGCACAACTCAACAACTCTCCACGGAGAATGAGGACTTCACTTACAAATCTGTACAGCCAGCCCTTCCTCATAACTGTAGATGCAGGATTTCGCTTGGCAGATGGAGCTTTGATACTTCTGAAAAAGAAGCAAAAATACTGAATATATACTGATTGTATATTGAAATAATGCCAAGTTTTAATCAGTTTACCATATATTTGCTTTCAGTGATTGAGTTTTAACATAACTTTCAGCAGATGTGGGTTTAAAATCAGTTACCTTTTAAGGACATTTCAGGCTTTTAAGCCTTAATGTTCTAGGATGCTGACTATCAACCAAAATGTTGTGGCATTGTGACAAAATGTCCGTAACTACAAGTCAATAATATGTAAATATTGAATTGCTTGCTTGTTGTCCAATGCAGCAATATTCAAGCTTCAAAGGTGTCCAGGAAATAAGTCATGAGCAGTTAATCCAGTGATGGACATGGTGAACAATGATCCACAATGCCCGGGTACAAAGATCAATTTCAGAATCTATCCATCAAGTCTGACCGTCCCATCCCTCTGGTCACCTCTTATGGCCATCATGGGCTATCCTAAGAATCTTCTTAGCACTACGACCATCGTAAGTCTTATACTTAGGCCCAGACTAATGACAGTCGTAGCGCTCTGATTGCTTCCTTAAATGAGCCCTAGACCCTCTCATACCCCATTCATAGGACCACGATAAAGTATAGTGATATGATAGGTCGTAATGATTCAAATGCTATGTGGATTGGGACCTGGGTGACCTCATCAAACGTAGTTGGAATTTTTTTGTTTTACGCCACACTTAGCAATATTTCAGCTATTTAGCAGTGGTCTGTTAATAATCCAGTCTAGACCAGACAATCCAGTGATTACCATCATGAGCATCGATCTACACAAATGTCAACCAAGTCAGCGGGCCTGACCACCCGATCCCATTTAGTTGCCTCTAACAACAAGCATGGGTTGCTGAAGACCAATTCTAACCCAGATCTTCACGGGTGTCATCAAAACCTAGAATCTCCATTTGGGATATATGTAAACATGACACAGAAGACTAATGATAATACATGTGACATTGAGCAGAACCAATACTGAACAACAAACTTAAACATCCGTTAAACTAAAATGTTAGCAATAATAGTCACGAAGCAGCAATAATCCTTCCACAATGATGCTTGTGTTAACATGCTGTAATACACATCAGAAAATGTGGTTGTCAGATAGAGTTTCCGTCTTTGTAAGGTGGGGCTGATAAAGATTACTGTCAGGTTGGCAGAGAAGTTGGTCTGGGGACGTACAGGCTAGGACTTAATACGATGAATACGGCATATGAAATGCTGACATATCATTTCAGCCAGACATGCCAAACAAACCACAAGACGGCTGATAAATCTATGAGAATTATGAGAACAAATATACCCATTTAATCGTTTTTACCCTTCTGTTGATGTAGGGTATAATACAATCATATCACATAAAACTTATCATCAATACAAGTTCTTAACTTTATTTCCACAGTGATATTGCTGGAATATTGCTAAAAGCGGCGTAAAACCTAACTTACTCACTCTTACGTCTTTTATTACCCTTCTATTGATGTGGGGTATAATACAATCGTATCATACAAAACTTATCATTTACACAACTTCCTGGTAATAGATTTGTATGAAAGTAAGTAAGTTATTTCATTGTTTATTTGGTATTTTACAGGAACTTTTGCCAAAACATTCCACTATATAGTTGGTCGGAAAAAGAATATAGATAAAATTTCAACTTCCTGATTAGTATTGCTACAATTGAATGAAACCAAAGGAGCTTTGAACATGGTATGATACAAAAATAACTGATTGCGTTTTTGGTCAGAATTCATCACATTATATTATTGGGTATGTCTTAACTAAATGACCAGTAAATCGCAGGGAAACGTGTGCACAGCTGATTGCTATTTCTGGCTCTGTATACAAGACAAATACACACGGTAATCTTAATCCCTGCATATAATACAATACCTAGCATTAGAACAAAAAAGGTAAATAATCGTGTCTAGTGATATTTAATTGCAAATTTAACATCTTCACTGACAAAGTGGTTTTCTATTGTTCATTCACGCAAAGTGATATAATGTTGTTTTTCTACTACCAGGAAAAAAAGTTTGACGAAAGTGTAACCTGTATCAGGGCTGAGACAGGTAACCCGGATACCCAGGACAGGTGGGTAATGAGTTGGACCCGGGTACCCGTCTCAATACATGTGATTATTAGATTAAATAATGTAATGTTACTCTTTCATGATTAACAGGTTGTATTGTCTTTGAAGATTTAGACATAATTTATAGTCACCTGTTTTGAATATAATACATGGTTAAGATATTGAAAAACTCGAAATTTTAGCCTCTGAGCTGAAAAATATATTGCCATTTCTTACAAATGTGATGTCAATAATTAACATAACAGGAATCAGGGTAGGGTAGAGTAATAGGAGGTGGGGAACCTGGTGTAACAGGCCAAACTTTCCCCCTGGCCAAATCTTCCCCGGGGAAAGTTTGTCCTAGGCCAAACTTTCCCCACCCTTGAATCAACTTTAAAGGCTACTTCTTTCCCAACATTGTTCTTATATCAAAAGGGTGAGATTCTGGCCCAGCTAGGCTATTTCTTCCCCAACCTTGTTTTCATGTTATGTTCGTCTTGAGTGAGTGAGGGAGCGAGTTTAGTTTTACGCCGCACTCAGCAATATTCCAGCTATATGGCAGCGGTCTGTAAATAATCGAGTCTCGACCAGACAATCCACTGATCAACAGCATGAGCATCGATCTGCGCAATTGGGAACCGATGACATATGTCAACCAAGTCAGCGAGTCTGACCACCCGATCCCGTTAGTCGCCTCTTACGACAAGCATGGGTTACTGAAGGCCAATATTCTAACCCAGACCTTCACGGGTATGTTTGTCTTGAAAAGTCAGAAACGAAAACAAGACATAGCTGTTCACGTGAAAACATTGATAAGATAAGATAAAGTGAATAATGTTCCATTACAACAAACATTACATAATACACAGCATGATAAAAGAGCAAGCAACCTGTGTATATTACATCTTATTTACCCATCAAATGTGCAACTGAATGTTTACACCTCATGGTGACATGATTTGAACAGATGAAGAACTAATGCAATGTGTCTTCATCTAAGTAATGGTGGCAGGAGCAGGATGGATTTAGAGATATATGCCGTTCAAACATGTATGCATTCAAATCACTACACCCAAGTCAGAGGCAAGAATGGACTAATTGGCAAAATAACATTACCAAAATTTAAGTCAAAACTACAGACAGACAGACAGGTTTATTTCGTAAATATGGCCATGAGGCCAATAGTACAAAATGACAACTTAGATTAAATTTTTTCAGAGCGCATGGACAGGATTTTGTTTACAAAAATTGCTAGACGGAGTATTATATTATGGTTCTTAGTATTTAGAAGATGTACAAATTTTTGTTTATTTGGGTTCATAATATAGATACTTGGTATGTAGTGGGTTCTTAAAGCTGCATAAAAAGGAATTTTTATTAACACATGATACTCATCTTCTGGTACACATTTACAATAATCGCACATAGCTACACTAATGTCATTGTCTTTAGATCTTCTATACGAAACTATTTTCAAATCGATGGAGCCGCATCTTAATTTTGTTAAGACTCTGCACAGATGTAACGAAGAGAGAGCAATCAAGTACAATTCCGGAACAATATCAGATTTAAAGGCAGAATACATATGTCATGATTTTGAGTTTCTTATATCTTGTGTCCATTCTTGATAGTACATGTCTTTACAACATTGTTTGAAAAGATTTAAAAACAATTCCCAGTTTCCAACATTTTGATATATCCATACATAAGCAAAGCCATGTTGGAATATTATTGATCGTACTGCCGAAGCCCAGTTATTATCTCCATTGTCGTCTAAACATTTTAACATATCATGCGAGTGATGTGAGTAACGTGTGTCTGGTTGCCGAAGCAGACGTATCCAAAACAAAACAACTCATGTCATATAATTTACACGTAAAAGGTATCTTCCATATTCGGCTAAAACTGCCTTGTTTGGTGTGCGAGTCAAAACTACTGTCGGTTTGATGTTTATAATAACTTGTTCTCCCCCTATTGATATAAAAGCAAGGGTGGGGAAGAAGTAGCCTAGCTAGGCCAGAAACTCCCCCTTTTGATATAAGAGCAAGAGTGGGGAAGAAGTAGCCTAGCTAGGCCAGAAACTCCCCCTTTTGATATAAGAGCAAGAGTGGGGAAGAAGTAGACTAGCTAAGCCAGAATCTCCCCCTTTTGATATACTCCCCCCCATAAGAGCAAGGGTGGGGAAGCTGTGGCCTAGCTAGGCCAGAATCTGCTCCCTTTTCATAGAAAAACAGAACAACATATCCTAGTTTGAACAGGGGGGAAAACTTTGGCCTAGGGGGGGAAACTTTAGCCTAGCCCAAATTTTCCCTGTGGTAAGAATATCCTAGGGCAAAACTTCCCCGGGGAAAGTTTGGCCTAGGCCAGATTCTCCCCAGGGAAAGTTTAGACCGGGGAAGAAATGAGAAATGGCCTGCTACACCGGGTAGAAAATTTGGACTCATCCCAGCCCTAACCTGTAGATAAGCCGACCCCCTTCTTCAGACTGCATTTTTGGTCCTCAAAATTTGACTTATCTACAGTCATATACAGTAGAATAAAGATTTTGTTGAGGATTATTTACCACATCTCATGATGTGTTTTCTTTCATTCTGCAAAATGGTAAAACAGTCAAGCAATTAAATTTTGTCAAAAGTCTGAATTGCGTTTTTTTTCTAATTTCAGATTTTGTTAGTGATTGTCTCACAAAGCATTTATAAAAATACAACCCGGGAAAGAGTAAATGGAGTTTCGGACTGAAATAGATATACGCCTGGTCTGGGCCGATAATTCTAAGCTTCAAAATGTTCAGGTAATTTATGCAATGAATTACCTGTAGGCATGAACAATGCCTATTCTGTTAGCAATCCATTTCAGGGTATACAATAATGTACAAAGGTTGCATGTTTACATGCTCCTACATTGACATTTCTAACCTTTGAACATAATTAAGGATTTAGATATTCGATTACATACACTCTCCACACTTCATGAACAATTCACTTACAGCCACATGAACTGCTGATACTGTTTCTACACAATGGGCTATGAATAATGAATTTACTGCAATGAGCCCCACAGCAAGAGGACAAACATTTCTCTCCGACAGATAATTGTGAAAATTTAAAATTAAAATGTCAAACCTAACCAAATTCACCAATGGTGGTGGTAAAATTTTCAAAGGATCTGATCACTGGTTGGTTGGATTGTTTGTTGTTTAACGCCACACTCAGCAATATTCCAGCAATATTCCAGCAATATGGTGGTGGGCTGTAACTAATCAAGTCTGGATTAATTCTAACTGCATCTTCATTGGTTATCTGGTTACTGCATATTGACCAGGCTTTGATTTGACACATCAAATCATGTACAATGGCTGGTTTGCTATATGACAATTCAAAGAAAAAGAACAATTTGAAAAGAATATATGTGATGAGAAGCATTTTTGCCCACCACTTTGGCATAATTTAAGAAATAGAGAACTTGTCACATGCTTGCAAGATGTTAGCAAGATATTACACTGAGTGAGTGAACACCACTTTTAGCAATATTCCAGCAATATTACAGGGGGGGGGGGACACCAGAAATGGGATTCACACATTGCACCCAAGTGGGGATTCAAACCTAGGTCTTTGGCATGATGAGCGAACGCTTTAACCACTCGACTACCCCACTTCCCACAAGACACTGTATAATCTTTGAACTATTAAGGATTTAGATATTTAGACATGTTTATACTACATAGAAACTATCCCCATGTTTTGAACAATTATATTAAAGCTATAACAAAACCACCCATGCAATCTGCAATTATTAAACATAACATAGTAAACAATAAAATGTACTTGTAACTGAGATTTTGTGTTTCATCTTTTTTAAACTTGCTCACACAATACCGATTGCTGAGGTCATGAGACGTGTCAAAAGTCTACAAGGTATAATATTAATATGGCAAAGACTGACTGACTGAGTATGGTCTTATGCCGTTTTTAGCAGTATTCCAGCAATATCACAGCAGGGGACACCAGAAATGGGCTTCACAAATTGTACCCATGCGGGGACTTGAACCCGGGCCTTCAGCTAGACAAGCAAATGCTTTAACCACTAGGCTACCCCACCGCCCCAATATGGCAAAGAGAAGGTCTATCATTGAGACAGGGCTTGTAAGAAACCATGTATGGTCTGAATAAAACTGTGGTCACTAACACCAATGGCCAATAATAGACATAAAGGAAATACCATTTATTGAAACACATCCTTCGGCAAGAAGATACATATATATGCCTTGAGAAGGAAAGCATTAAAAGATAACGACAAGAGAATATTGGGTTCAAGGTCAGAGGTGAGGCTGATCTGTGGGCTGAAAGTTTACTTTAAAAAATCTATTAATATGACCTTTGGAATAGTCATTTTAAGCAAATGGTGCCTGGAAACCTGAAACTTTCATAGAGGACTTCTCACCTTTGTTTGGGCAGCAACTTCTTGGAGTTTCTGTCTGTGGGACTGAGTGGAGCCTGTGGACTATGTGGTGGTGATCTGCCGAGAAAAAGCATAGATACAGGATGTGGATATCCAAGCGAATGCCTGGAGGAGTGAGTGAGTGAGTGAGTGAGTGAGTGAGTGAGTGAGTGAGTGAGTGAGTGAGTGAGTGAGTGAGTGAGTGAGTGAGTGAGTGAGTGAGTGAGTGAGTGAGTGAGTGAGTGAGTGAGTGAGTGAGTGAGTGAGTGAGTGAGTGAGTGAGTGAGTGAGTGAGTGAGTGAGTGAGTGAGTGAGTGAGTGAGTGAGTGAGTGAGTGAGTGAGTGAGTGAGTGAGTGAGTGAGTGAGTGAGTGAGTGAGAGCAATAATTATGGTTGGGGTACCAGAAATGGGCTTCATACATTGTACCCATGTTCAGAATCGAACAAGGTCTTTGGTGGGACAAGTGAATGCTTTATCCACTGGGCTACCCTACCGCCCCTCCAGCAATTGATTTTATCAGTGATGATCCTCAGCTCACCAAGCCTGATCACCTGAATGACAGCAAAAGTGTCTGGGGACATATGCTAACTCAGAATCCCACGGGGTAGTGTATGCTCAAGGTAATCTTTGTTATGCTATGTAACTAACTTCCCTGTTGAGAGCAGTGTTCAGTGATCTTATCAACCAATGATATCTAAGGATGTTATAAGCCACACCTTTCCTTACACACTAGCAAGTGCATCCACTAAACATGAATGGATTTGTACAACAATATCTTACAAATGGAAGTTGTTTGTACAAACATGTTTCATGGGAGAGAACGTCTAAATAAATATGAGGGTCAAATGTACACATCTATATTAGAATGCTTACCATTATATGGTATACGTATGTCCAACATTAAGTCACTCTAGTATAGCATCAAAAGATTTTATTACTGCTGTCACAGGTAATTACCCTTCATATTACCGGCAATCAAAGGTTTTCATAATTTTATGAGTATGACACATGTTGCAATGAAAGGGTTCAAATGATTAAAAATATGCAGTGTTTGCAGAGAAGTAAGAATATATAACTGTGAGAGAAGTGTCACATTTTACTTCTTTGAGTGGCATTTTAGAAGTTGGGAAGTTCAACATAGACAAACTTTATGGATTACAACATTTTTATTTCGTGAGTGTGACGTTTCCCTACAGATTCTTGTACCGTCGTACATATATTCCTGTTTGGCAACAGTACACGAATCTGTATCGAAACGCCGTACACACAAAATAAAGAAGATTTAGTCCATTAAGCTTGTCTACGGTACCGGGTATATTGTGTCACATTTGGTTTAAATGTATGACTAATATTTACACAGCTCAAACAACTGCAAAACAGTTTAAAAGCATTAGTTTAAACACAAATTATCTGCATGCACTGTTAATAATGATACACACTGCAATATTATTTTTCAAACTTTCATTCCAATTTTTTCATAATCTTTAGGTTTTATTTAACCATACTTTAGAAGTGAATTGCTACAATAAGGAAGATGTCATCAGTTTTCAGCTTAACCCTGAATAACAGGCTTATTGTTTGAGTGAGTGAGTGAGTTATTATTTAACGTCACATCTGCAATATTTCAGCCATATTGTGACTTTATTGTTTGAAGAAAACTTACAATGATGCAGATCTCACATGTTACCATTCTGAGTGAGTGAGTGAGTGTAGTTTTACACTGCATTCAGCAATATTCAAGCTATATGGCTGCGATCGGTAAATATTAGAGTCTGGTCCAGATAAACCAGTGATTGACATCATGAGCATCGATCTATGCAACTACGATACAATGACATGTGTGTCAACCAAGTCAGCGAGCCTGATCACCCGATCCCATTAGTTGCCTCTTACGACAAGCATGGGTTACTGCTTCAAGATCAATTCTACCCCGGATCTTCACGGGTCACCATTCTGTGAAACCCATCAGTTTGGGTATGGTGTTGACACATCAAGAAACATACTCCGAATAAGACTGGCATTTGAACCCACAATCACAGGTTGTTAAAGGGCATTTAGAAGTTAGACAACATGAGTACACGACATGTTTTATGGATAACTTTTTATTTACTCTTTATCATATTATTTCGGAGCTATTTCTTGAATGATCACCTGATGAAAGAGCAAGAATCAGTTCAGAAATGTCATGATAAAGAATAAAAAGAAGCTGTTATCCATAAAAATGTGTAATGCATCCACAATCACAGATCGGGGTGCCCAAATGGTTAAGCGTTCGCTCGTCATGCTGAAGACCTGTGTTCGATTCCCTAAATGTGTACATACAACTGACTGACTGAGTTTGGTTTTACGCCGCTTTTAGCAATATTCTAGCAACATCACGGCGGGGGACAGCAGAAAAGGGCATCACACATTGTACCCATGTGGGGATTCAAACCCGGGTCTTCGGCGTGACGAGCCAACGCTTTGACCACTAAGCTACCCCACCACCCCGACACAAACATTTACATACATCATTTGTATAGCGCCGATATCTAGTACAACTGCTCAAAGGGTACAATCTGTGAAGCCTATTTCTGGTGTTCCCTGCCATGATATTGCTGGACTATTGCTAAAATCGGCATAAAACCCAACTCACTCACTCACTCAAGATCATTTAAGGGAAACAACTCTGTTTATGGTATTGTGGTTCCTTAGAAGACTTGGCCTTTTGTGCCCACCTTAGGACATAAACACTTGCTTTTGAACAGCCATTAAGCGTGTTTTACAACCAGCGAAGGTAGCATGCTAAAAATACTGGCACAGATGATCCCTTGTTTTGCAATCTGTCACATTCATAACGGGAAGTGTGAAGACTGCAACCCAACCCTAAATGTATTTGAGAACTCTGTATTGATGATTAAGAAAAAGACTTGAGAAAGTTGCCAAGAATGTTTATTATTAAATAATTGTACACCATTTCGTTCAGGAATTCAAAATATCCTTTGCAACACATGAAGCTATTCTCATCCACAGGCCTTTTTTATTTGAATTATTCCAAACAGATTTTTGCTGGAGCAAAACATAAATATTTGATCTTTTCATCCAGGGTCCGGAACCTGTGACAGATTGTTATGGGGGCGCACCTGTAACCTGGCTTGGCTATTGACATGGTGCCATCATGGAACCGAAGTTTCCGTGTCAACAATTATTCTTCATCATGCTTGTATTATTGACAGTCAGCAAATATTTCTGTCAATACCACCATGTTGGAAAAATGACTGGATCAGCAAAATTGCGGTATCATCTTTTTGATGGTGGAATCAATGGTCCAGAATATGCAACAGTGTTCCCAAAAGTATTTTCAGGGCATAACTTGATTCTTGTTTAACCGAGATAGTTACCCATTATATAAACAGGACATTTTAAGATCTTCCAATCTATCATTATTTTTAATTAATAGTTTCAATTAATTGACATTGCATTAATGGTTATTACACACCTCTGTTAAACATGAAATTTTAGGATGTTCAAATCGATCATATTTCAAGAATATATTTTTCAATTTATTGACATAACATCAATGGGTATTACACAACACACCTCTGTTTCTTCAACTGATAAATGTCTTGAATCTACCAGGAAAACTGATTTTATGAGAAGCAAAGGCAATCAGGAATATTTGGGATAAAGTTAATAATTTTATAAAATAACCTGTTAACCATTATCTGCATAAATATATCGTTTTGGGGAAAATATATCAGGCCTACCAAAGAAAACTTTCCCACTGTGCAGAAAAACACAGAAAAGTCCACATTAATCATGGAAATAGCAACATAAACATAATACCTCGCTACTGAATCAGTAAAAACGGCATGGAAAGACTATGAACGGCAACATTTTTGTATCAGCGAATTTTGACGTCTACTGCGCATGTGTATTATGATCCGCGCTTCTTTCAAATTTCCGAGCAACCTTGAATTGCCTCGCATATAAAAAGTATTGCATATGTCGAAATAATTGCTGTCAATTATTTCATACAAATGGAAAGTAAACTAAACAAGTGTGCACACAAGTATGAAGAAAATAAAGGCCAAGTAACACAACAGAAATACTTTAAAAAGGGAATGTCACTTTTGTCCAAACTGGAAAATGTCAACATGCAGTCGAGACTTCCTCTTCATCGAATTTGTAGGCTCTTCATTTTTTTTTATCCAGTTTTAGCGATTTAAAGTTGCTGTTTTTACTGTTTCAGTAGAGAGGTATTATATTTATGTAGCTATTCCCACGATTAAGGTGGGCTTTTCTGTGTTTTTCTGCACAGTGGGAAAGTTTTCTTTGGTAGGCTTGTATATAATCTTTTTGTATTGCACAGCAATGAGAGTTGTAAAACTCTGCACAGCAAATCATGATGCTTTGTACCAGCATTTGAAACAGCTACTGGCCTGCTAGGCAACTAACTGATTGTGAATCGGCCCAGTAATATATTGTTAAAGTTATCCCGACTGGCTAGTTGAAAATCTCAGATAACTTGTTCTTTATTTAATGCACCTGAATATAATGAAGACAATTATTAAAGAAAGAAATCTTAGATTGTTTGACTTATATTGTTTCCAAGGGGTGACAATAACTTACCATCTTCAATTACCAAACATCACACCAATTCTGACCAACGTGCTTTTGATATTTTGCAGGGCCAGTGTATAATGATTTAGGATAGCACCATTTTTACTTCACCAGCCCTCCTTGCAAGTGACATTTCAAAATTAATTCATACACTGCTTTGAACGACTGGGTCACCAAGAAACTCCTCCCCAGGTTATACTATGAGAAACAGGGACATATTCGGTGACATTTTGTGCCATATTTGTCACGACTTACACCCATAATGTTGCCAGGCAGAATACAATTAATACAGAATTTCAATGTTCAGACAGAATTATTTGTTAAGTCGTGAACAGGCGCTGTTACATACAACACAAGGGTTTTATAAAAAGTAATAAAAGAGTATTCTCACCTGGAAGTTGTATCATATAGGGACGGCCGAGCACTTAGTGGGTGGTCGAATGTCGTGGTGCAGGTGTTATGGCTGAAATAGAAATAGAAACAGTTTGAAAGGTTGTCAGATGTTATGACATGACTCATGACATATGATTTCTCTATTACAAATAACTGATTCTCGTATCCATGGTAATCATGGAAAATGGTAGGAGGAACTGAGAGGAAAACGAAATTACATTTTAAAATAATGTTTTTGAACCCAAAATATGTTATAAATGAATGTCAGTGCAATGCTAAGACTGACTGACTGAGTTTGGTTTTAGGCCGATTTTAGCAATATTCCAGCAATATCACGGCGGGGGACACCAGAAATGGGCTGCAATGCTAAGAACTTCAAAAGAAAATTGCAAATTCCTAGAATTATTTGCATGCATAATTCAGGCAATTGTCTATGTTAAGAACAAATCTAATGAATATTTATACATTAAACATGTTATGGGCATGATTGGCGGTGAGTAATTGGACATTTTCAAACAAAATATTGATTATTTCCATAAGCTGTTACATGACTGCGTACATCATTAAAAACAACAAAATGTGACAAAAAACATCCATTTCAAAATCTTGGCATCTTCTGATTTATGTGAGTGAATATGGTTTTATGCCACTTTCAGCAATATTCCAGCAATATCACAGCGCGGGACACCAGAAATGGGCTTCACACATTGTACCCATCTGGGGAATCAAACCCGGGTCTTTGGCGTGATGAGAGACGCTTTAACCACTAGGCTACCCCACCGCCCCCTGATGTATGACTAATACAAAGTAATGAACAATGCAGTGTCTATCGACTTAATGGCCGCAACTTGGCGAAAAAATGGTTTCACTACTATACAGTACACATACGATCCCCCCCCGAATTGCCTCTTCCTTATAAGGCATGACAGGATGGCACAGCCAGGTGGGTTGACATGTGACAGTTTGCTCTACATCGCTATGGTGATACAGGTGTGAAATGATTCCATGCTGTCACTCATCAATCCATCTTGCCCTCACATGACCGACCCCTGTCCATGGAAAATCTCTGCTTATCCAATTATTAAGTGATCCCAACTTCCTTGTTCAGAGGCTGACATCTTTTATTTCACTGTATAATATTTCTTTAAATATGGAGTCACAGTGACATTTCTTGAAATGCTATTTTGAACATGTTAAGAAAATGTCAAATTAAACATATAAAATGGAGGTCTTTTCAGTGTCGTTCAAAGGCCTCACAAGTTATTTTAGCTTTACTGACTGACTGACTGAGTTTGGTTTTACGCCACTTTAATAGCAATATTCCAGCAACATCACGGCGGGGGACACCAGAAATGGGCTTCACACATTGTACCCATGTGGGGATTCGAACCCAGGTCTTCGGCGTGACTAGCCAACGCTTTAACCACTAGGCTACCCCACCGCCCCTATTTTAGCTTTACATGTATTAGGAATTTCAGCAAGAATGCAGATTAATGTTGAAAGTTGACATTTCTTGAACATATAGCAACTAACACTGATGTTGTTATTGCAACATTCAACAATATTCCACCGAACTGATGGTGAACTATAAATATTCAAGTCTTGACCAGACAATCCAGTGATTAACATAATGATCATCAATCCACACAACAGGGATATGGTGACATGCATTACCAAGTGAGTGAGTGAGTTTGGCTTTACACCACCTTTAGCAATATTCCAACAATATCACAGTGACAGCATGACAAGTGAATGCCTAAACCACTAGCCTACCCATTCATCCCCTTAACCGCCTCCGTGGTGTAGTGGTTAGAGCATCCACCCGGAGAGAGGAAGGTCATGGGTTCGATCCCCGACCGCGTCATACCAAAATACGCTAAAATATGGTACTTGTTGGTCCCTGCCTGGCGTTCGGCATTAATGGGTACAACAAGGACTGGTCGGCTCAGAGTCAGTATAATGTGTCTGAGTGGGGTATTCATGCTTCACTGCGGCATGGTATCTCAGTGGGCTAGCACAATAAAACCAGCTTCAGTCTGGGCTAGTACAAGCAGCCGCACATACACATACACACGCATGCATGCACGTCGTCATATGAGCAAAATATTCTTAAGCACGACGATAAACCCAATTTCACCTCACCTCACCTTCATCCCCTTAACCAAGTCAGCAAGTGAATCCACCTGATCCTGTCTGTCACCTATCATAAGCATGGGTTACTGTCGAACAATCTTAACCTGACTCTTCATGGGTCAATTAATCATAAGAAATGTTTTCACACCTCTTATCTAATTACAGTATGAAAGAAGACATTTTAATACATTTACAACATCATTAAACTGTATTTCAAAATATATGAGATACTTCATAGTGGAAACGAAACACAAACTTATACTAAAATAAAACACTGCATCCAAAAAGATTTAAATGATCGTAAAAATATATTTGAGTAAAATCTTAGTAAGATTCTCTTACCAATGATGTCAATTATGAGTTCAGAATACATGATTTTTTTGCTGCAAATAAAATATATTTAAGTAAAATCTTAATAAAAACCTCTTGCCGATGATGTCAATTATGAGCTTAGAATATGTTATTTGTTTGATGAAAATAAAACACATTTAAGTAAAATTTTAACATAAAACCTCTTACCGATGATGTCAATTATGAGTTCAGAATACGTTATTTATTTGATGAACATAAAATACACTTAAGTAAAATCTTCATAAAAAAACATCTTACCAATTAGGAGTTCAGAATTCAAAGCCGTAACAGCATCTGTGACAGACTGGGCTCACTCACAAGGCAAATATTCAGCTATTGATAACAGGTCTAGGACTGTCCAGGACACGAATATGTGTCCAAATACTGGTCATGTGCAGGCACTATTACCTGTCATCAACTCACGGACAGGTTACAGTGATCACAACTCTCTCAATGTGATCAGCGTGACCCCAGGCCATGTTTTTACGACTATGTATTATTTTCTGGATCAACAATCATTAGGAACATTACTGCAAGGCCAGCTATCAGTGGAATGTTTATCTTAATGTGTATTTTCAAAACAACAACAGTGTGTGTCGCTGTAATATGTTATTTTGCATTTTGTAGATGAGTGGCATTACATCATGGTAACAGTTCACTCGAGGGTACTTGATAAGGAGAGAGGAGTAAACATGTTTTCATACTAGCTTTAAATAGCAATGTCGTCTTTGGTTCAGGCAAACTAGCGGTTGGAAGTCTGTGCAATGATAACACTTCCTTGATAATGGTGTTAGCAGCTACACTGAAACATCGCTTACATTAATTAATAATAAAGAAGTTGTATATCCTTAGAACTCTCGCCCTCGTTCATCACATCAACTTCTAAATGCCAATCAAAGAAGTCTTCTGCTGGCAAAGTTCAACATGATAACAGCCCCATTTTCAGTAGTTACAGAGTGAGTGAGTTTAGTTTTACGCCGCACTCAGCAATATTCCAATTATGGCAGCACACTGTAAATAATGGAGTCTGGACCAGACAATCAAGTGACCAACAGCATGAGCATCGATCTGAGCAATTGGGAACCGATGACACGTGTCAACCAAGTCAGCAAGTCTGACCACCCGATCCTGTTAGTTGCCTCTTACGACAAGCATAGTCGCCTTTTGTGGCAAGCAAGGGTTGCTGAAGACCTATTCTACCCCGGATCTTTAGGGTCTTCAGTAGTTACTACTTAAAACAAGTATCAACAACATTGGGCTCTATTCTGCCCTGGAACCACCTTGGGGTCTTCCATGTGTGGTTTTTGGCTGAACCAAGGACTTTGATGATGTAAAAACCAAACCAAAGCATTTCCATCATCATAAAAGTCTCTGCTAGCAGCAGGTGTGTGATTCTGGCTATTAGATGACACAGAAATTTCACGATACGATACATATTGCGATATCTTGGAACGATACGATTCGATTCGATGCATATCACGATATGCTATCTTTAGTTATTTTCTTTCAAAATGTATATTTTGGTAGCAAGTAACAGTGTAAATTTTGACATAACCGCCAATTTCTGGTGAAAATTAATAATTTTAAGGTCAACGATACATATCACGATACGAAAAAGAGTATCGATATATTTATCGTCGGATAAAGTATCACAATTATCGATACTACGGTATATCGTCACAGCTCTACTGGCTATATCAGAAGAATGTGGTAATGAATCCCTATCAGTCAGAGATGATCCCAGTAGATCCCAAAAAGGGAAGCATACCCTGAACAACCAGTGGTACCTATTATAAAAGAATGCAAAGGTAAGAAGGTTCTTCACCTGCAAAAACATGGGAACGTAACATGTTACAGGTCAATGTATGGAATTTCCTTTGTCACTGATCATGTCACAAGCATCAAATATTGAAATATCTTCTACACAGGGTTGGAAACAGGAAAATCTATTTTCAGCGGAAAACTTAACATTGTGTCATCAAATGGGGGATTTCGTGAAACAATTTATAATCAATTTAGAAATAAAATTGGCGGAAATCTGCAGATCGGCAGAAATTTGCCATCCCTGTCTACATGTTTACTTGTAAATCTTCTGAGAGCTTCACTGATGATAAAACATACATCAAGCAAGATGGACTGTCTTGACCACAAGTGTGGACATGATGCAGAAGTTTTCATAGATTAACCTAAAGCTAACCTCACATTTGTTATACCACTCAAGCTAGTTGACATATGGTGCAAGAAAAATTCCCAAAGTGACAGTGATGAGTCTGTTTTTGTGTCTGATAATATCTAGATCCATTTCTTCTACAGTGACACTCAAAGATATCTGAATAAGTTGAGAGATTTCATGTGTCAGTGTCAGGTGTTATTGCTTACATAAGTTCATTTGTCAGTCGTTGTCTTTCTTGGCCACAAACACTAGATTATAAGGGCAACTCAGTTAGACGTATAACAAAATTCACTAACAATGATTGCATTTTAATTAGGTAGCCATAGGCAAATTGACACCAACCTCAGTAAATAGTTTTTGCCACAAGCATTGTTTGAGGGGAGAAACGATAAAACAGACACATTGAGGTTTTGCTTCGAGGCTTTCTGTGTAAAATACCGTAAGATCAGCTACTTGAAAGGTTGTTTACTAAAACGAAAAAATGGAACACTTTGTACAGTGCTAGCAGCATGCAGAGCCTATGGGGCTAATGGCTGCTCCTTTGTCACATTTCCAGAACAAAGTTTATCTACCTCTGGCTTGGATCAAAAGGACAGAAACAGAAAAGAATGAGTGAGTGAGTTTAGTTTTATACCGCACTAAGCATTATTCCAGCTATATTGTGGCGGTCTGTAAATAATCGAGTCTGGACCAGACAATCCAGTGATCAACAGTATGAGCATCGATCTACGCAAGTCAGAAAGCCTGACCACCCGATCCCGTTAGTCGCCTTGTACGACAAGCATGGGTTACTCTATCAACTCTAACCCGGATCTTCACGGATCGAAACAGAAAAGAACTTTTAAACGTATAAACTCTGACCCTGCTAGAAACACTACTTTTCTGCCATGAGTATTTAATCAGAAATCATTGAGTACATACATTTCTCTGCAATACGTTTTTGCCTGCGTCCATTTTAATAGGCATTATAAACAATAATTTTGAATAATCATACTGTTTTAGTATACTTCTAATGTGCATCTGTTCGTGCCGTGGAGACATGATGATGGGTGCTAACTCACTGCTAACAGATAATCCTTCATGTTGTATGAACAATGCTTAGGCTGAACTGTTTACTTTCAAACCATGTTGAAAGATCTTCTCCTGTCATTGCAAGGATAATTACATCCACATGTTATACTCCCCATTCTCTCCACGACTGCCAGAACATGTGCCATCTGTTGTTATAGACGACATAGGATGAAGCGACACAGAGTAGGTAGAGTGAGTGAGTGAGATGGTTTTACGCCACTTTTAGCAATATTCCATCAATATCACGGCGGAGGACACCAGAAATGGGCTTCACACATTGTACCCATGTGGGGAATCAAACCTGGGTCTCTGGCGTGATGAGAGATGCTTTAACCACTTGGCTACCCCACCGCCCCCTGATGTATGAATAATACAAAGTAATGAACAATGCAGTGTCTATCAACTTAATGGCCGCAACTTGGCGATAAAATGGTTTCACTACTATACAGTACACATACGATCCCCTCGAATTGCCTCTTCCTTATAAGTCTTATGTTCACCAAATTGCAAGAATATTTAGCTTCCTTTTCAGATTCAGAAAGCTTGTATTGTCATTGTTGGCACCACAATTCACAATGCAGAGTTTGGTACCTATCCTGCATCCAATGGCAACAAGAGAGAGCAGTGAATGATGTTCCATTGTTCAATAAAATCCAATAAATGTATGCATGGAACTTGCCTGGAGTTGTACATTTAATATTTTGGGAAGCTCATCTGAATGAGAGAGTAACTGTTGCTTTAAGGTGCATTTTGCAGCTATTAGAGAACCTCATGATGAAGATCTGATTTGACTAACATGAGATACTGAAAACAACTACTTACTCAAGAAAGTATAAAGATCCATCCAAAGTGACCGCTTGTTCCCAACCAGGAGGGAGGTCTAAACAAAGAAAAGGATTATCATTACACTACGGCCAAATGATCAACAACATTGCAACCATATAAAGCCAAAACATTATAATGATGCTAAATTGAAAATGAGCATGGTGATGTTAATATAATGAAAGTAAACATATGAGAGAAGAAACATAAACAAGGGTGGTTAATAAATATTTCATTGATTATTTCTGAATTGCGCTGACAGATGCATTGCAAACATTTCAACCTGATGAGTAATGTCTAGGCATGATTTTAGTTTGGTCCTGTTTTTGATAAACAATTAAATTTCAGTTGACCCATTTTCATTATAATTGTGTGAAGTTGCTCTTTTTTCCTCTTTTCCAGGCAAACTGGAGCCACCTGTTACTTGCGCACAACAGTTAATTATGCAGCATTCTAAAGTGTTCATTGTTCTGTGTATGTTTGTAATTATGGTGATACTTTATTTATCACATTTATAGTCACGACTAAGTAATTAATAAAAAACAAGATATTGGAAATTTTAATATAAATTGTATATTTATATATTTATCCTATCTCACGACTTGCACCTCTCTCTCTTGCTTCCACTTTTAGTGGAACGACTGTAAACTTTTTTCCATAGGCCTCCTTGTCCATTCGTGGAGAATGCTGCAAGCTTTATTAGGAACTAGGAAGCTAATTAAGGAGAGCAGCATGGAGTGCATGGGCGAATGGACAAGGAGGCCTATGGAAAAAGTTTACAGTCGCGTTCCACTAAAAGTCAATAGCGGTGCTGCAAGAGAGAGAGCAGCAAAGGGTATGGAGTGCATCCTTAGCCCAAGGCAGCGAATGCAAGTCAGAAAAGCAGTTCAGAAGCAGCGGTAGAGAGAGGTGCAAGTCGTGAGATAGGATAAGTTTAAAAATTGTATATTTGTATTTTCCTTTCATAATTACTGAACTAAGCTAAAAGTGCTGAAATTGTTGCAGAATAGAATCAATGATGTGTAAAACATGTTTTGTTGTAAATATAAACTTGGCATTATCCTCAATATCACGACACATTAATGTATGTTTTCCACCAACAAGCATACTGTCTATCAAACTAACCTAGGGTAATTTATTATATAGTTAAAGGCAATGGGGTAGCCTAATGGTTAAAGCGTTCGCTTGTCACACCGAAGGCCCACATTCGATTCCCTACATGGGTACAATGTGTGAAGCCCATTTCTGTGGTCCCCCGAGGTGATATTGCTGGAATATTGCTAAAACCCAACTCACTTACTTATATGAGTTGGGTGGGGTGCGGGAGTATGGGTTGGGGGTAGGGGCAGGGCTGGTTGTCAGAAGAAATAAGGGGAGGGTCACCATAAAATCTGAGGAAGGTCATAGAATACAATACACATATTTGTAGATGGACATGAAAAAATATACAAGGACAAGGGGAGGTAATCCAGAGACATATGACCTCAACCCTCCACTATTTTATGCCTTCACAAAAATTATGTCTGGTTTTCCCTACAATGATGGCGGTGACAGGATCCTACTGGCAAACAAGGATAAGTTGGACCGGTGCAGAGAACGCGTTTACAAGAAGTAGGCGGTTTACGGCAATGAGCAAACCCATTTGGTTCATGACAGTTAGAGCAGATGTAGGCTAGTGCATGTGCATTGCATGACGATGAAATTGACTTCTCACGTAGCTGCACACGCTTTGATCAAAAGACTCTCACGTCGGTGTAGCAAGTCGCACTACACTTGGAAAGCGCCAGTTGGCGGCACTCATACATGATTATACGGGTCAATCGTCAGGTCGGTGCTCAACTTATCCTTGTTTGCCAGTAGTGTATCTGTTACAATGGTACATGCACTCACACACTATCACTGGACCAAAACACCCGATTCTAAGAAGCTACAGAAAGGGCATTTTGTGATGAGCACTTTACCCTACTTCAGTGAAAGTGCTGAATACAGAGAGGTAGTCAACAGCAAATTTGTTACTCTCATACCAGTCTTCCCATTAAGATTATTTAAGCTCTTAGTTTCTGCCAGATTTCCTCTGTACTCATGCCCTAATCACGTCAACATAGATCTGGCTTAGGGATATTACTGTAATATTACTGTAGTGGTGTTGGGGGAGAAGTGGAGCTGATAGGGGATATGTGAGTGTGAGTGCGTTTAGTTTTACGCCGCACTCTGCAATATTACAGCTATATGGCGGGCAGACAATCCAGTGATCAACAGCAAATGCATCGATCTACACAATTGGGATACGATGTCAACGAAGTCAGTGAGCCTGACCACCTGGTCCCGTTAGTCGCCTCTTACGACAAGCATCTGGGGGTATGAGTTGGTATCCTGAAATTTTCTGAAAATAGGCCTTACATTTTGTGTTCCTTTTTTTCCAAACTTACATCAAGAAAATCGAGTATTGTTTTGTTTTTTTTACACTGCTGACTATCGGTAAACACTGTAAACACTGATCTCACAATCAAAAAAATCTCAGGACTGTTTATATGAGTATTTTTTAACAACGATAAATTGTCACGTGCTTAACCCAATTCATTCTCCAAAAAACTACGGACAGTGGTTATACATACAACATGCATCCAATAAAGATCAAGATCAACAGACTCACATGATTTGGGCACTTTAACATTATAAGTTGTTCACTGGTCACGAGGGGGGCATGGGTTGATCGAGGGTACATCAACCCATGGGCCCCAAGGGACAAGTGAACAACGTATTTATCTTACCGAACACCTTAATGTTAATTTTGAATTGTTTGAAGCACGGGTACAAATCTTTTTTGTAGCCATCGCTAGATTTTGCTGACAAGAAAATCAGATTTAGAGTTATCTCCCTTCCATCAATTTGCATTCGCAAAACATCGGTAATTTCCGTACTACATCATACGTGATTCAATGGTATTCGAGATAAAGAAATACTACCACGAAGTACCAAATGAGTTGCCATTGACAGCGGGGTACATTGAAATGTTACTCGCTTGTAAGCGGGGTACATTGAAAATAACAGAAGAGCGCTCAGCCAATCAGAAAGCGACATTTATGTGCTAGGTAAGATAAAATAATATATTCAAATGTGCAAAAGATCTTTACAGATGTTTCAAAGTCGATATAATTTTGGGTGATAATGTTTCACGTAATTGATGCATATACATGAAGTAATATTTTGGGATGTTAAGTATTTGTTGGCGAAGACCTTCACACCTGAAAACATACTGAAATCTGCCTCCTTCAGCAGATATGTTCTAACAGTCTTTTCTCATGTAACATATGTTATATTTGGGATTACGCTTTCTCAGTAAAGTACAGATTCTTGTACTTTTTGTTGGGTTGAGTCCCATCCGGTATTCAAATCCACACCCTGAGAGTCAGGCACCTAATCACCAGCACACAAAGTCACCACTGAGCGTATACCATTGAGCCCTGCATGTGCACCGACAATGACTGTATCACTTTCACCACTGTCTTCCTTGTTTGCTTTCTAATTAAGTGTCCCACGTGCACAAACAGTAGTTTGTGTGGTGTGAGACGTTGTGGTTGAAATGTGACGAAATTCAGCCATGGGGGATTTACAGCTGCTTTGTCCTCACTACGTCTTAAGGGGTCCTGTGAGAGGGGGATTTACATTCCTGTGTTGTAACAGTTACCTGGTCAGTTACCTGCTGATTAGTAACTCACCTGTGGGCAGGAGAAGTAATCAGATATCACTGAAATGATTAATCTGTTTGTGGGAAGAGTAATATCATATGGAATGTTGGACATTCAGCGTTATGATTTTTGGATGATGATTAAACACCCTAGAAACCTTTTGCATGTAGTAAATACTAGTGAACCACTGCAAAGTGTAAAGTCTGATGGAAATGGTATCAGATTTCAAGGATCCATCCATATTTATCGGTATTATCTACAACCTGCTGAGGACACAAAGAACCGACTTTAAAATGCTTCTCAAAAGAAGTAAGGGACCACCCCAATCTTTCATACTACTACAGTTCATACCTTGACAGATTAACTATAGTAAGTGAGTTTAGTTTTATGCCACACTCAGCAATATTTCAGCTATATGGTGGCGGTCTGTAAATAATTGAGTCTGGACCAGACAATCCAATGATCAACAGCATGAGCATCGATCTGCTCAATTGGAAACCGATGGCATGTGTCAACCAAGTCAGCGAGCCTGACCACCCGATCCCGTTAGTCACATCTTACGACAAGCATGGGTTACTGAAGATCAATATTCTAACCTGGACCTTCACGGAAAAGATTAACTATAACATGTAAAGAAATAGAATGTATCAAAGGGTCCTGATTTTCCTTTGAGCAATACACATTTTATCAATTTAATTATTTCTGTATTTCTAGTGGGTGTCTCTTAAAACTGCTGTTAAAAATAACAGTTCATCTACCCAGTTAGCTTTTAAAAGAAGAACCCTCTCCACATACAAGACATTTGGAATAATACTTGGCGTTACAGCATGACCAAAAAGGCACTGGGCTATCATTAAATTAATCCCTTACAAACAAATTGTGCTAAACATACAATAATATGGTGATATTCAGAATACATTTTCAATATATTCATGCTATTATCTCACAACCACAATATTGCATTAACTTATATACTGAACAACAAATAGATATAATATTGTATAAGAGTATAAGACAAGAATATATAGTGTAATTATTATACTTATAGTAAAGAAAACAAAGCACTGACAGACTGAGTATGGTTTTACGCCGTTTTTAGCAATATTCCTGCATAATCAGGGTGGGGGACACCAGAAATGGGCATCACAAATTGTACCCATGTGGGGAATCGAACCCGGGCCTTCGGCGTGACGAGCGAACGCTTTAACCACTAGGCTACCCCACCGCCCCAGAAAACAAAGGACAATGTGAACATTGCAAATAACAGATAGAAACATGAACAAATCTTAGAAAACAAATAGTATATTCAATTCTTACGTTAAATGACAAGAGTTAAAACAGATGTGGAAGTACACAGTTCCCTGGCCAT